CCTTTCAGACTTTACTCAGTTGAAAGACATGTATATGCCGAATGGTACATGAAATTATGATGATGAACACAGGCAGGCATTGTGATACAGTGGGTCAAGCTGCTACATTCCATAGTACAGTGCCAGCTCAAATAAGTCTCAGATCTTCCACTTCTTCTTTTTTTTTTTTTTTTTTTTTTGACAGGCAGAGTGGACAGTGAGAGAGGGAGAGACAGAGAGAAAAGTCTTCCTTTGCCGTTGGTTCACCCTTCAATGGCTGCCGCGGCCAGCGCACTGCGACCGGCGCACCGCGCTGATCCGAAGGCAGGAGCCAGGTACTTCTCCTGGTCTCCATGGGGTGCAGGGCCCAAGCACTTGGGCTATCCTCCACTGCACTCCCAGGCCACAGCAGAGAGCTGGCCTGGAAGAAGGGCAACCGGGACAGAATCCGGCGCCCCGACCGGGACTAGAACCCGGTGTGCCGGCGCTGCAAGGCGGAGGATTAGCCTAGTGAGCCACGGCGCTGGCCAGATTGTCCACTTCTGATCCAGCTTCCAGCTAATATACTGGGAGGTAGCAGATTATGGCCCAGTGCTTGGCAGTGGGAGACTCAGATGGAGTTCCTGGTTCCTGTGTCTCCCCCTGCCCCTGCCTTTCAAATAAATAAGTAAAACTTTTCAAAGAGAGAATTGCATCATTAGGTTTTTGATCCAAGATCTACTCTAAATATGCATGCAGTGTTTGCCTTTATTGGTCTTGGCAGAGAATAATGTTGAGGAAGCCCTGACACTTGAATCCCTATTTATCAAGTTCTACTTTGGTGCTTACAAAAATAATTATCCCAAACATTGATAAAATATGCAAAAGTCATTCTGACCACAGAAGGATCAATCTACTTTGCTGATGAACTTCCCTTCCATTGCCCAACAGGCATTTTATTGAATTTATCTGGTCTGGGGCTAAATCCATTCTGGCAATCATGAGAAAAGATCCCGTTTCTCAGGACTATCACTGGGCCATGCGTTAGGTGCTGACTCTGCAGCATGTCCGCTTAAAGGCAATGTAGCAAGTCCTTGAAAGAGGCTCATGCAAGCTGTTAAGTGGGCCTGATGAAAGCGTTTCCTGGTGAAGGAGGCGATAAACGTTGCTGTGTTAATCTGCAGATGAAAGAGGGGCTACCTTCAGTAATATGATTTGAGCTGTTTTATCCTACATGCTACCTGCACAACAGGAACAGTTGCTTTAGCCCCTGCACCTCCAGGAAGCAAGCATCGCACCAGGCCATCTTAAAATGGCTAAAGGCGACTAGTGATCACGCTGACAGAGGGAACCATCCAGTTGAATTTGGTCTTTCTTGATGAATAATGGAAGAATCAAGCCCCTGGGTTCGCCGGGTCAGTCAGCACCTACTCACAGAATGCTTTGGGTGCCAGCTCCTCTGCTAGGTGCTGCAGATTTGGAAATACAAATTGTTCTGCCCTTAGGATGCTCACAGGCTGATGTGGGCGATAGTAATGCACCATGTATTTAGGAGCCCATAAGGAATAATAGGAATCCAAGGAAGTGATGTCTGCCTTTAAGGACTCCATATTTATACTGTCTTGGAAGAGTAAATGAGTTGGCGGAACAGGAAAGCATTTATGTCAAATCCTTGGCAGGGCTCTGAGGGATACAAAAATAAGTAATGTTTGATTCCTATGCTCAGAGATCTCGTCCTATGGGGATATAGATATGTTCTTAAAAAGGGACTATCCCTTCTACATAGGACACTCCACTAAACCGTGTTGCATGAGTGAATGAAATGTGATGTCATCACAGGAATGTGCAATGTCTTTAGGGACACAAATAGAACAACTAAATCTGCTTGGAATTAGAGAGGTCCTGACATTTGAGCTGGTCCTTGGCAGATGAAGGAATGTGTCTGGCTAATATGGGAGGAACAGGCATTGCAGGCAGAGACAATAATTCACAAGTAGTCATAGATGTGAACGACTGAAGCTGAAGCCGGCTGCCTCAAGCTTGTGTAGTTCCTATACCATATTTTGCAGAGTATAACCACTGTGCACTGGAGGGGAGCTAGTGAGAGTTGGAGGAGGACTTCATGCATCTAGAAGTTAATGTGCCAAGCACTGCTCTGATATTCTGTGAAGAGAAAAAAGGCTAAGTACCTGCCTTCAATAAGTTTGCATTGTAGTTTTGGAAACAGATCATTTAAAAAATGTCAGGTACTGATAAGTGCAAAGAAAAATATGGCAGGATCAGGGGATAGGGAGTAATGGGGAATTCTTTTTGATGAAAAGGTCAAGAAAGATTCTTGAGGTACTACTTGAATTATTAACTGTGTGAAGAGTGGATACATAAATACACGGAATTGCCTTCACTAATGAAACATATCTGAGTTCTAATCTCAGCTTTAGCCTTTTCCAGCTGGATGGCCTGAAGAAGTTATTTTAAGCTCATGAAGTTACCAGCTGGCTGTTATATACAGATAAGTCTAAAAGCTTTGCACAAAAGAGGTGTTCAGTAAATACATTAGGTGACTGGATTAATACTATACATGGGTGCTTCAAAAATTCATGGAAAATGAAAGTAAAACATTGTTTTAGTGTAGTTTTAACATCTATGCATACAGGAGGCCTTTAAAGATCTCATGAAAAAATAATTATGAAAACTATACACGAATTTCAAGATTTGGCACACTAAAACTTACCTTTCAATTCCATTTCCATAAACTTTTTATTAGTTGACTTCAGTGAGCACATTAGTCTTTTTCTAGTATTGTATCAGCTCAAATATCACATCTTTTAGAATCCCCTTTGTGACATAAAGCTAGAGCCTCCTTTTTCTGAAAACATCTCTTCCCACCTTCACACTGCCCCCTAGTAGTGTTGCAGTGTTCACCTTTTTACCCAAAGGTCTGCTTGGCTGTTCCAGCTTGAAACGAAATCTGAGTCCTCCTTCTAAATGGTGGTAACTAACATGATTGCCATTTACCAAATGTCTATAATGTACATTGGTGGCAGAAACTTAATAGATATTAAGACAACCTTATAGACATCATTCACTGCTACACCTCCAAGGCCTAGCACAATGCCTGTACTATAATAGATGTTACATAATTATTTGAATGCATGAGTCTCAGAAAAATGACAAGGTCAGAGAAATTCTGTAACAGAAAAGAACTGAAATTAGGCATATCCAACAAGGTTTGAACCATATTACACAAGAGGAAAAAGATCTCTTCATTGCAAAATCTGAAATAAAAACCCCCAAGGAACTAAGCTATCTTACAAAAGCTAGAATATAAAGAACAGAACAGGGCCTTAACATGGAGACAAGAGGGGGAAAACAATTCCAGGATCCAGGAAGAGGTAGATCTTTCGTAAAGAAATTTGGAGAAGTTTTCTTAGCAAGACAGTGAAGTGGTGAGCAAATACATAAACAGCTACACATGATAAAAGTCTACCAGCAATATCATGACCAGATTAGCAAAGAACAAGAAATCAGAATGCTTGAAACAGAACTGGGATAACCTGGTCATTGAAAATTCCGGAGTTTGAACAATGTAAAAGTTGGTATCAGAATCCATGTTTATGCCTATATTACGTATGCAGCAAAATGAGTCTAGATCAGGTCCTACTAATTTTGTTTTCACCTCATAAAATCAAGAACATTTTGTGCAACAGTTAAGATGCTTCTTGGGATACCTGTATCCCATATTCAACTGTCTGGGTTCAAGTCCTCGCTGTTCTCCTGAATTCAGCTTCCTGATTGTGTACCCTTGCAGGCAGCAGGTGATGGTTCAAGCATGCAGTTCCTGCCATCCATGTGCCAGACCTGGGGCTCTGGGCTCCTAACTTTGGCCTTTCCCAATGTGGCTGATGAGGATATATGGAGAAAAAACCAGCAGATGGAAGATCTCTGTCTCTGTTTCTCTGCCTTTCTAGTAAAATGAAAATTAAGTGAACATAAAATTTTAAGACTCTTAAAAAGAATACCTCTGGATATTCTTGCAAGCATTTACTGTACTGGACTGGATGGTCCCAAACTATCATACACCAGAGTGAATTAATTCAAGATAAGCTGATTCCTGAAGAAACTTTTTTTTTTTTTTCAAATCTATTTTTTTATTTATTTGAGAGCCAAAGTTACAGACAGAGGGAGAGGGCTTCCACCTGCTGGTTCACTCCACAAACGGTCGCAATAGTGAACTGGACTAATCTGAAACCAGAGGCCAGAAGCTTCTTCCTGGTCTCCCACATGGGTACAGGGACCCAAGCACTTGGACCATCCTCTGCTGCTTTCCCAGGCCATTTGTAGCAAGTTGCATTGGAAGTGCATCAGCCGGGACTTAAACCAGTGCCCATACGGGATGCCCAGGCTGCAGGCAGAGGCTTAACTTACTATACCACATTGGCCCAAGGAATTGTTTAAAAGGCATTTTTCTTTCTGAATATTTGAAAGATGGCCATATAGTCTTTTTAGGTGTTGAAGATGATAAGTTTATATAGAATTGAACTGAGCATTAATACATTATATTTACCCTTTTTAGCCAGCTGGGTTCTTTTTAGCTATTATGAGTAATGCTGGTATGAACATGTATGCACAGATTTTCATATGGACATGTTTTAATTTCTCTTGGGTATGTTATCTTGGGGGTAGAATTGCTGAATCATATAGTATTTCTATGTTTAACTATTCAAGGATTCATCAAACTTTTGCCAAAGTGGCTGTCCATTTTATGCTTCTACCAGCAGGTTAAGGAAGGTTCCAATTTCTCCACATCTTTGTTAATGCTTAGTCTCTGATTCTAGTTACCCTATTGGGCATGAAATGGTATTCTGTGGGGTTTCATTTCATTTTCTGGATAACTAATGATGTCCAGTATTTTTTTCATGTGCTAATGGTTATTTGTACATCCTTTTTTTTTTTTTTTTGACAGAGTGGACAGTGAGAGAGACAAGAGAAGGTCTTCTTTTTTCTGTTGGTTCACCCCCTTTAGAGAAACATCTATTCAAATATTTTGCCCATTCTTGTCTTTATTGAACTGTAAGATCTTTATACACACCACTCTAGATACAACTTTACACATTTATGATGTACAAATATTTCCTCCCATTTTATGAGTTGCCTCTTCACCCTTCTGATGATATTCTTTGAAACACACATTTTTCGTTTTGTGTAAGTCTATTTTATCGACTTTTTTTAGTTGTTGCTTATACAACAACCCAAAAGTCCCAAAGGTTTGTCTATGTTTTCTTCTAAGAGTTTTTTAGCTTTAGCTCCTACTTTGAGGTCTTTGGACTATCCTGAATTCGTTATTTTTTCAGTGTTAGTGCTCAAACTGTTTTTCCATGAGGACACAAAACAGTCCCAGCAGCATTTGTTGGATGATTCTTATGTCTCTATTGAATTTTCTTGGTACTCTGGTTGAAAATCAACTGACTATAAATCTGAATGCATATTTCTGGACTCTTGCTTTTATATAATTGATCTATTTTTGACCTTTATGCTAGTACAACACATTGCAATAAGGGTTTCTCCTCCATTTTTTCCCCCTCAAGATTGTCTTGGTTATTCAGTGTCCCTTAAGTTTCCACATAAACATTAGAATAGGCTTGTCAGTTCCTGCCCAGAAACAAGCTGGAACTGATGGAGATTATAGTCAATCTGTACATCAGTTCAGGAAGAACCGCTGTCTTAAGTCTTCTGATCCTTGAATGTGTCTTTCCAATTATTTGTTTTAATTTCAATGTTTCTTATTTTAAAAGTATTCATTTTCTACTTTTTGTTGTTTATCCCCAAATATTTTATTCTTGTTGATACTGTTGTAAATGGGATTTTCTTAATTTTGCATTCACTGTGAGTATATAGAAATACAATTGATTTTTGTACACTATTATTATACCCTGTAACCTTGCTGAACTCATTTATCAGCTTTAATATTATAGTGGATGCCTTCAGATCTTTATATGAGATACTGCTATCTGTGAACAGACAGTTTCTCTGTTTTGTTTCAAGTTTGAGTACCTCTCTAGAGGTACAAAACTTATTTTGAATGCAAGACTTAATATTTGGTGGTATTAAAGTCAATATTGCATAGATTCATTTTTAACACAAAAGTGACAGAAAAATAGACAAACTAAACAATTAGGAGGCAAGGAAACTATTAACTAGCTGTGTGATCCTGAGCCGTTTATACACTGTTTTCCAAATCTTCTTCCATTATCTATTCCTGTGAACGAGGGGTATGTAAGCAGCAACTTTTCTTAGTTTATCCAGCCATTACAACTGTGATTTTGATTACATGTACTGACCACCATCTCTCCTTTTCCAGTTTTGCACATCAGGAAGGAGAATAAAATCACCCAATATGAAAGAGTACAAAGTATCTGCACATCTGGAAAAAACCTAACTCCCAGGAAAGGTACACTAGAAGACACTGTAAGACAATTAAAGAGTTACCCTCTTGGGAACAAATCAAAATATAAATAAGTGCTTTGGAGGCTTGTGGAGGAGAAAGTAAAAATGAGCAAATGGATGAAACATTTACTCTGTCAAGGACTACATCTAACATTTTAAAGCCATGTAACTTAACAATAATTATATTAGAAATGGCAAAAATATATTTAAAAAATATACATTATCTGAAGCCTTCACCAGAGGATCATCTTTTAAAAGCAACGTCTCAGGTAACATTTAAAAATTATAATTTTGATTAAAATGGCAAAAGTGTTTCATCACATATGGAGCACCATTAAATTTTTCTACCTAATATTAATAGGACACCTTCCCTCTGTTAATGCTCACAGTATTCAAATATGTTATACTTTAGTATTTCAAATTTCAAGTGTCCTTAAACCTGAGTTTTAATCTCTGGGATAAAGGAAGTGGACTATCCAAACAAATACCAGGGTGGTAGTCTACTTTCTGATGACATTGGGGAAAATTCAGAGACTTTTTTGTTAGATCAGGGAAACAATTCTCTTCATTTCCAGCTGTTTCGTAAGGTTCAATATATTTTTCAGTTTCTTTAATCAGTAGTTTAGGATTATTCAAGTTGTTGTGGTCATTTTCTTTGAATCGGGCTGGGTGATTATTCTGAAAACCATGCTTTATTTTTTGAGTTGAATACCTGGCTTCCTCAAACGCTGGGGTACTTTCTTCATCAGATGACTGTCTGTCAAGGCAAACACTTTTCTTCATTATAATTTTTTTGGAGGCTTCTGTATCAACTTTTCTACTGTGATGTAAAGCTGTATTTGGTGGTCTAGCTCTAAACGCTGTTGTGTTATTGCCAGGAAACGGTACAGAAGTAGTTATTTTATAGTTTTCTTGAAGCAGTTGGCCTTTTACAACTTCAGTGTTCCTGGATTCATTTTGCAAATTAATTCCTGGAAGATCTTTAGAAAGATGTGATGGACAGTCAGTGCTATTAGCAATACAAGATTCTTTTACCCTAATTAGGGACAAAGTTTTCAAGTCAACATCTCTATGTACATTTTCCTGAGGATACGATGATTTTATCTGCAGTCGTTCCCTTAAAGGTAAATCTTGAAGACATAAATCAGAAACCCTGGAAAGTAGATACTCTTCAGGATTAATCTTTTGGAGATCCCAATCCAACACTTTATTTATGTTTGAGGTGCACTGTTCTGATTCACATAATTGTTCTGGGATATTTTCAAAGGAATCAGCAATGGCTGAGAGCTCTGATTTAAGTTCTGATTTTATACCACAAGAGAAAGTGTTCCTTTGAATAGCTGGGGAATTACTGAAAGAAGTGCCTTCCCAGTCAATGGTGCTCAAGTGTAGATCAGCAATCTCTGATCTACTATGGGGTGAAGAACTGGGTTGACCAGCTTCTGAAGTTGGATACTTACTGACAGCTTTAATGTGTTGGAGAGTCAAAGGTCTTGGAGAAGACAGGAAATGTTCCTGGGTATTCAGATGGGAATCATCTTCAGGTAAATGGAAGTCATTCAATGAGGCGGGGATAGTTTCTTGTGGTAATGTAGGATTGGGAGAAATTTCTAAATTTAACTTGGAATTCTGCTTAGGAAAGATTTCACACGTGGATTTTAAAGTCATTTCTGATTGAAGATTCACTGCATCATCTGAGTCTGGTAAATTTTCTTTAGGCTTAATTTTCAAACCTAGAAAAAAAATATAATTAACATCTACTTTCTTTTCCTTAACTTGGGTTAAAAAATAAACTAGAGTTAAGATCAGAAATATTCTATATGAGCAGTTTTTGCCTTTTGGGGGCTCAGTAGATTTCTGGAACTATTACAAAATATTACCCTCTGGGAACAGTTATAAAAAACAAAGTTCCTTTCCTCACCAAATTCTGAGAAGTAAAGATAATGTAGTTATAACCCCAAATATGTTACATACAACAGTTGCCCAATAACTGGTGAGTATAATTATTCTAACACTTGGCAATATTCGTAGACATAGGATGGCTTATTTCTGACTTTTCAGCTTTAAAAGGAAGTAGGTGAAGACCAAGAAGCAAGAGTACAATACAAACTACTGATTGTAGAGAACTTTTAGGAAAATTTTGAAAAGACAGGTCCAAATGAAATACAACTGACATCTGTGTGATGTATAAAGAGCTATCAAACCTGATGCTTACCCTTTTGTTTCTTCCCTTTAATTTCTAACTTTTGTAGTTGGTAAACAGCAACAATCTCAGGATACGCTGCTTCAAACAATGATTCTTCTTCAATTGTTGATAGAACCAACTGTCCATTTTGTTTGTCTTCTGTAACGTAATGTTCTATAAGATTAAAAACACAGCAAATCAGACTAAATCACAGATTGGAACAATTCAAAGTTTCCAGGTAACTAAGTTTACCATGGAAATTAAGTTACAAATGCAAATTTTGCTGTATAACACATCTACTCTAATAATCTAGTGATACTACTCCAGAATTTTTCTTTTTTAGAAGATTTATTTTATTACTTATTTGAAAGTCAGAGTTAGAGAGAGAGAGAGGGAAAGACAGAGAGAACAAGAGATCTTCCACCCACTGGTTCACTCCCCAGATGGCCGCCAGTGGCCAAGGCTGGGCCAGGCTGAAGCCAGGAGCCAAGAGCTTCATCCAGGTCTCCCATATGAGTGGCAGGGGGGCAAGTACTTGGGCCATTGCTTTTCCCAGGTTACTAGTAGGGAGCTGGATTGGAAGTGGAGCAGCTGGGACAAGAACCAGTGCCCATATGAGATGCTGGCATCACAGGCAGCGGCCTTACCTGCTATGCCACAGTACTGGCCCCAAAATTTCTTTTGCCTGGCAAGAGCTGGAAGGAGAGCCTTTTAAACTCTCTTGCTTCAGAGATGGTAGTAGCATTTTAGAGAACAGAAAATTTTGTTGAGATGAGGTTTTAATTTAGTAAGTGGTAAAATTATAGGTAAAGAATGGAATAGACAGTTTCCTGAAATTTAACATCTGCTTTCTTTAATGATGGATTCTGAAAACAATGGAAGTAAAAGGATCACAAAAATATTGTTATTTTCAGAGGTTAACCTCACGCGATTTCTTGAGCATATGACCATTCTTACTTGACTCACAAGAAGCTAATATATGGAAATGAGAATGTCTATGTTAATTTACATATATATATAGCAGACTAGATTCTTAAGTTAGAAGCAGAAACAAAGGAAATAGGTGATATTAACATGTTTTTTAGTTACTAACTTGGAATACATTTTCTCCCTTAAAGGTTAGCTCTAAAAGGATGAGTGAAAGTGAGTACCGGATCTACTTCTAGACAGGGGAGAGGCGCTACTAAACTGGGTTAATATAATTTTCTTTCCTAAGGATACGGTAGCTGGTGGAATTGTTCCTAAACAGTCTATAAAATTCTCTGCCTTCTATCTTCCTATGATTGCTTAGAATGGTTATCTGTTTTTTTTTTTTTTCTTTAAGATTTATTTTATTTTAAAGGCAGCGTTACAGAGAAACAGGGAGCACACAGAGAAAGATCTTCCTTTCACTTGTACATTCCCCAAATAGCTGCAAAGGCTAGGGCTGGGCCAGACCAAAGCCAGGAGCCAGGAGCTTCTTCTGGTTCTCCCACACGGGTACTGGGGCCCAAGCACTTGGATCATCTTTTGCTGCTTTCCCAGGCACTTTAGCAGAGAACTGGATCAAAAGTGGAGTAGCCAGGACTTGAACCAGCACCCATATGGGATGCTGGCATCACAGGCAGCCTCTTTACCTGCTACTCCACAATGCTGGCCCCTAATTCTTTATAATTTTACTCATCAATTACCTACAACTTAAGCTTTCATGGAATAAATATATTCTCTCGATCATCCAAATATAATCACACAGTCTAATTTCAAATCCAAACAGAAATAAACTTAGGATCATTTTCCATTTTAAGTTGTCTATGCTTTACTTGCTTCTAGATTGGGTCCTAACCTAGAGCTCACATTATCCTTGTTTGGAGCAGAAATTAAGAGTAATCTGACCATTGTGAATCTCCATGAAAATTAAACAGAGCAAAGAGGAGAGGAAGAAAATCCCAGGTGCTCTTCAGCACCCTCACTTTACAGCCAGCTCTGTAAGTACATGAAATTCATAACCAAACCACTGTGAAAGCATTTTGAGATACAGAAATAAAAACAATTTCAGTATTATTTTAAGCATCACAAAACAAATTTTAGGACATGAAAATAAAATGAATTGAAGTTCATGTTAATATTCGTCAAAAGATATTTAAAATAAACAGGTAACTATGAAATTAATCCATAGTGCATATGTAGGTTTCTTTATGATTTTATGTAATACACACGCACACATACACACACACACGCACACATACACACAATATTTATTGCATGTATATGTTCAAATCTTAAAATTTTTTGCTTATAGTGAATACATACCAGGCTTTTCCCATTCTATTTCAAAGCAATTAATTCCATTTCTGATTCGGTTCTTAACAATTCTGAAAAACAAATTTATTTAATGACTTCTAATTACATGAGTTATTTGGAAATTTTCAATTTATAGATGAAATACTTTAATTTTCTTTAATCTTTACTTAAGTAAAACTATCATGAGGGATTACTTCTTGGTTATTCCTTGGATTAGTTTATTAAAAGGCAATTTTAATATTGGGTAAATAGTATTTATATTAGGGACCCAAGCACTTGGACCATCTTCCACTGCCTTTCTCAGGCTACCAGCAAGGAGCTGGATTGGAATGGGGCAGAAGGGACACGAACCAGCACTCATATGGGATGCTGGCATCACAGGCAGTAGCTTTACTCAATATGCTACAACGCTGGTCCCTCTTTTAGTCTTTTATGTCTGAAAATACCTTTTTTGTGAATATTTGACTTGTAAGTTATCAATTACTTTTAATCAGTACTTTGACATGACTCCATCATCTTCAGGCACTGGTGACAACTATGAAAGATGTGCGTATCAGACTGTCATTCCTTTGTGGTTTATCTTTTCTCCTTGATACTTCCTCTCTAAACTTTTATTTGGAAAATTTTTACACCTTTAGAAAAGCCACAAAACAGTAAGAGGAAAACTCACAAAACCTCATCAAGATGCACCAATTGTTAGCATTTTGTCCCATATTTTCTCCATTTACAAGTTAGTTGCTGACATCCCTCAGGGCACAAGGCCCTAAATACTGCAGCCTATCTATGTTACTACATGGCCACAACACAACTATCACACTCAGGAAATTTAACCTTGATACAACAGTGTTATTCAATATGACACTCATATGAAATTTCCCCAACTGTACTAAAAATGTCCTTTATGACTTAAAAAAATACAGAATTCAATCAGGATCACAACATGCTGCTTGAACTGTCATATTTCTTTAATCTCTTACAAACCAAGAAGATTTCCTTCTAAATTTTTAAAATATGTATTTATTTGAGAGAGAAAGAGAATGAGCTTCTTTGCTGATTCACTCCCTAAATGTCTGTAATGGCTGCGGGATGGCTATGGTGGAACAGAAAGTGATTATCTCAATCTGAATCTCTCCTGGGGGAGAATACTTGAGCCATCTGTCTGCATTAGCAGGAACTTGAAATCAGGAATCAGAGCCAGATATCAAATTCAAGCACTCCAATGTCTGACATGGGCGTCTTAATCAGCAGCTTAATTGTTAGGCCAAACATTTATCCTTCTAGCATTTTAAAAAATTATTTATTTATCTATCTATATCTATCTACCTATTTTCATTTTATTTGAAAGGTAGAGTGAGAGAGGGGACAGAAGGGAAGATCTTCAACCACTGGTTTACTCCCAAAATCCATGCAATAGCCAGGTATGGGACAGGCCAAAGACGGGATGCTGGAACTCCCACTTGGGTAACAAGGACCTGCCTCTCAGGTACACATTAATCTGGAAGCTGGATCAGAAGTAGAGTAGCCAGGCCTCAAACCAGCACTCTGATATGAGATAGGGGCACCACAGGCTGTGTCTAAACCTCTGCCGGTGAGAGTCCTCCTCTAGCTTTTGACACCTGTACTTCTGAAGGGACTGGCAGGATGGTGGTTCTGCAGGATGCTCAGCACTTGGGATTCATTGTATCATTTTCTCATGATAAAATTCTCTTTTGGCAAAATTATTGTGTAGATGGTGTGGTATCTTTCTCAACTTACCAGACTGAAAGGCTCATGATGTCAGTCTATTAGCCTATTATTGGTCATTAGTAATTTAATTAAGCTGGTATTCATTGTATTCCTCCATGGTAAAATTACTCCTAATTATTCTTTTTAAAGATAAATTTCTTTATTTGAAAGATGGGGGAGAAGGGTGGGGGAGCATAAGAGGAAGGGGGGGGGAGAGAGAGACAGAGAGAGAGAGAGAGAGAGACAGAGACAGAGAATCTTCCACCCATTCACCCATTAGTTCACACCCCCCAAATGGCAGCAACAGCCAGAGCTGGGCTGGTCCAAAGCCAGAAGGCAGGAACTTCCATGTCACCCACGTGAGTGTAATGGTCCATGTTCTTGGGCCCCATTGTCTGCTGTTTTGCAGGCACATTAGCAGGGAGCTGGATCAGAAGTGCAGCAGCTGGGATTCAAAAAGACATCCGTATGGGATGCCGCAGGATCCACTACAACAAAGTGCTGGCCCTCTCCCTTTTTTTTTTTTTAAAGATTTATTTTATTTATTTGAACAAAACAGAGAGAAAGAAGAAACAGAGAGGTCTTCCATCTGCTGGTTCACTCCCCAAATGCCCAGAACATTCAGGGCTGGGCTGGTCTGAAGCCAGGAACCAGGAGCTTCCTCTGGGTTTCCCATGTGGGTGCAGGGCCCCATGCACTTGAGCCATTCTCCTCTGCTTTCCCAGACATATTAGCAGGGAGCGCAATCAGAAGTGGAGCAGCTGGCACCTTTATGGAATGCTGGCGTCGCAGGCGGTGGGTTTCACCTGCTATACCACAATGCCAAATGCCAGCCCTCCTGCCCTTCTTAATGATTTTTTCAAAAATTTGAGTTTCTAAGCAGCCTTCTGTGTGATTTGATTAGTATTCTCCAATTCACTAATTCTTTTTGACCAAGTTCAGCTTAATGATCATCTATTGCTTTTTACTTCAACAACTATTTTTCTTAAGATCTCTAACAGTTCACTTTTTATAACCAGGCATTTAAAATCATTTCAACTCACTTTTGCTTTATAATTTCACTTTCTGTTTTTTATGGACCTATATCTTCTTTCATTTAATTAAGCACACTAGCATTCTCATAGGCAAAGAAGCAAATGAGCAAACCAAACTGCTCTTTACCAGATTTTTAAAATAAAACTAATTTAATCTGGAGTAAATTTAAAATTCAAATATTAAAAATCTATTTCTTTATACACTACAGTTTCCTCCTCTATTTTATAGTTTATCTCTAAGCTTCTACCTCTTTTGTCCTTTTTGAGTAATTTCCAGCAAGCTTTCTGGGTTTCAGACAGTATTTTGTTAGTTATTATTATTTTTTTCAAAATCATGGTAGCTATTAACCTCCTGATTGGAACACAGGAATTACATCCTAGCCAGTCAACATTAGGAAATAAGCTTGACTCCACACTATCTTGCACTTCGGGTCCTTCCCTATCTTTCTTTTACCCTGCAGGGCTCTATCTCCTGGATGACATTGCTGCTCCCAGATCTAGGATTCAAAATCAGTGCCAGTCTCCCATTCACCTGACACTTTTGTTCCTTTTCTTGTCCAAAATAGTTACCTTGTTGAGTCTAGCAGTATCTTTTTATGTTTATTTCTTTGCATAATCTATTAATACTACATGTTCAAAGTGAAAAAGGATGTCAAAGCATGAATTTACTATGCTGTCTTTACCATAAGCTAGTTCTGAATAGACTTTTAATATACTAATATGACTTTCTACATCTTAGTAAACAGAGAACTATATATCCCACTATTAAAGATATTATGAATATTTTAGAACATAAGATATTCACTAGAAAACACATCATCTTCACCATGAAGTAACTTAGGTTATATTACCGAATTGGCTGCAGTTGGTTAGAGTTCCATCTACCGAGTTTTCTTTCTATCATGTCATAACGGGTCAAAAGCACCAGTAATTTCTCACATGCATAGTGATTGGGCCATTCCATTTTTTCGAGAGTAAATCTCTGTAAATATAATAAAAATAAGACAAGATTCTGTTATTATTTGGAAACAAACAGTACTTTCAGGTGACAGTATTCCTTAGAGCTAACATTAAGTAGTATTGGTGAGAATATTTTCAGAAAGACTGAAGGCAGAAGCAATACCTAACGATTCGGTGTAAGGGTGTTTTTGTTTTTGTTTTTGTTTTTGTTTTTTTTTGACAGGCAGAGTGGACAGTGAGAGAGAGAGACGGAGAGAAAGGTCTGTCACTCCCCCTCTTCATGGAGGAACAACACTAAACCCTGCCTAGGCTTCATATCCGAGTCACGGCACCATTATGTCGCTCCCCCTCTTCGTGGAGGAACGACACAGGACCCTGCGCTGTTCTTTTGTCTGCTCGGCCCTCCCCGGGTTTGCTGCTGGTTCTTCCCGGGGTTGGCTATCGACCCTTCCACCCCCGTGGAAGTGGGGAAAGTGGCAGGGGGAACTGCCCTTCCACGGAGGTGGAAGGGTCGGTAGCCAACCCGGGAAGAACCAGCAGCAAACCCGGGGAGGGCCGAGCAGACGAAAGAACAGCGCAGGGTCCTGTGTCGTTCCTCCACGAAGAGGGGGAGCGACAAGGTCTTCCTTGTGACGTTGGTTCACCCTCCAATGGCCGCCGTGGCTGGCACATCGCGCTGATCCGAAGCCAGGAGCCAGATGCTTCTCCTGGTCTCCCATGCGGGTGCAGGGCCCAAGGACTTGGGCCATCCTCTACTGCACTCCTGGGCCATAGCAGAGAGCTGGACTGGAAGAGGGGCAACTGGGACAAAATCTGGCGCCATGACCGGGACTAGAACCTGGTACGCCAGCACTGCAGGCAGAGGATTAGCCTAGTGAGCCGCGGCGCCGGCCGGGTTTTTGGTTTTAACGTCTATATGTATTTGGTAAATTACTTAACCTCTTTTTTTTTTTTTCTTTGACAGGCAGAGTGGACAGTGAGAGAGAGAGACAGAGAGAAAGGTCTTCCTTTGCCATAGGTTCACCCTCCAATGGCCGCCGTGGCCAGCGTGCTGCGGCCAGCGCACCGCGCTGATCCAAAGGCAGGAGCCAGGTGCTTATCCTTGTCTCCCATTGGGTGCAGGGCCCAAGCACTTGGGCCATCCTCTACTGCACTCCCAGGCCACAGCAGAGAGCTGGCCTGGAAGAGGGGCAACCGGGACAGAATCCGGCGCCCCGACCGGGACTAGAACCTGGTGTGCCGCTGCCGCAAGGCGGAGGATTAGCCTATTAAGCCACGGCGCCGGCCATACTTAACCTCTTTTAACCTTAGTATCTCCATATGCAAACTGGAGACAAATACAGCTCTGCTCATAGTTCTTGAAGATTGAAATTATATACAATGTATTACATATAACAGCAAATTTTAAGAATGCAACAAATGTTAGATGCCATTATTAACATGACTGAAGGCAGGGTAAGCTACAAGTAGTTTACTGAGTCATCTATGTCCCTAGCCATTATATTAAGGGTTCAAACAAATAATCTCATTTAATCCTCAGGGTCACTTCATGAGATATTACATTTTGAGGATAATACACATGCAGGGTCACACTGCAAATGGAAGCCTGTCCAAATTTACAGTTAGGCACCAATTTCAAATCCCAATGTTTTATGAACTATTATCTACTGCCCTGAACAGTAATATATTTGATACCGACATTCTTGTTACAAGCTTTGTCTTCCCAGCATATCCCTGGATACAAGACATCTTTATATGTTAATTAAGGCATTTTCTAAAGAAAAACATAATCGTGGTTTGTCTTATAGTCTATAAAGTATGGCCATGACTTGAAGACTAGAAATAACTGCTGAAAAATATAGGGGACATCAATATCCATCTATTTTAATTTTTAAACCTCTTCTCAGAACAAAGTGAATATCTCATCTTAGTTTTCCAGAATCTAGCTTCATACTATAAACAAAGAACTTATTTTCAGATACCTGAAACAATAACAAATCAGGTCTTTGGTACCTGATTACCTTCACCAATTTATCCTTGTTCAAAAGGAATTCTTGAATAACCTTGAATAAAAAGAAAACAGAAATTAAGACTTCAAAAATTTTTAAAAAGCTTCTGTAAAAAACACATAGCTGGATTACTGGTGATTACCTCTTGGAATGGGAATCCTTCACAACGGCAAGCTTTCCTGAAAATAGATTAAATTCACGTTATTATTACCACTAGGCAACGGTAGGCAGACTCTGAAATCATCTCATCCAGTCTCCTCACAGCTAATGAAAAGTGTCCATGTACAGTATCTGAAACAGCCATCGAGCTTCTCTTTGACTATTAAATTTCTACTATTCGGGATAGATGAATTTATTAACAGAATTAAAAAAAAATAAATTGTGAAACATGTGACCCATCTAGACATGTGGTGACGGCTATGTGAAAATAATTCAAGTATAGGCATTTACATGGCTTATACCAGAAGAACAACAAAAACTTACTTTTTAATATTGTCCTCTACTCCAGTTAACCGCCTATTACATTCTGTTTGATGCCACTCACAAGGACAGCAGTATTCATAATCATGTGGTTCACAATACCTATTGCTCTTACATAATCTGCACCCACTCCGTTCATGATCCTTAGGTGAACCTTTAGAAACACAAGAAATAGGACTTTCACCAACTTTCAAATTTGTCTTTATATACACTTTTTTTTTGCCATTATCCATTTTTTAAAAAATTTAATGCCGTCTAGCACAAAGCCTAACACATACAAATGGCAAAATTTAGGTTGAATAGAGTAATAGACACCACTGTAATTCTCAGGATAATGCAGATCCTGTGCTTTCACAGTCACAACACTTCAAAAAATTATTCCATCAGAAAGTGTTAACATATAACAAAATTATACATTTTAATAATCAATAATGGAAAACTTCTTGGTTTATGTATGCAAGAGAAAGTAAAATGTGATTAGTAGCAAAAAATTATGATTTACTTAATAGAATAATCTAAATGATTTCTTCAAGGAGCATATTAAACAATATAACAATTAATTGCCCTTGCAAGTGTCTATCTAAGTTGTTTGTATAGTTACTTTTGAAGGTTGCCTGGAACATGAACAAGTTAATAAGACTTTGCAAGGGGGGCCAGTGCTGTGGTACAACAGGTTAAGCTACTGTTTGCAATGGCATCCCATATCAGAATGACAGTCTGAGTCTTGGTTGCTTGGCTTCTGATCCAGCTCTCTGCTAACACAGCTGTGAAAGCAGTGCATGATGGCCTGAGTACTTGGGTCCCTGCTAACCACATGGAAGACCAGGATGTAACTCATTGCTCTTGGTTTCAGCTTGGCCCAGTCCTGGCTGTTGTAGAGTGTTTGTGGAGCGGACCAATAGACAGAAGATCTCTGTTCTCTTTCCCCTTCCCTCTGTGTCACTCTGCTTTTTAAATAAACAAATCTTAAAAAACAAAAACAAAAACAAAAGACTGCACTGTTATTAAGCCCCCAGTTTGCTTTGAAAGGAAAGCATGATTACCTTCAACACTGTTTTGAGAATATGGAAGAGCAGACCTATTTGATATGATCTAAAACTGTCATTTGTAAGATATCAAAAAACTGCATGACGGCATCATTTAAAAAAAAGGCATTTCTTTTTTCCCCATGATTTCATCTGTAATTTAACAATGTTAATTAAGCATATTAAGACAAGTAAAGAACTCTTTTTAAGAGATAAACTATTATAAGGCCGGCACCGCGGCTCAATAGGCTAATCCTCCGCCTGCGGCGCCGGATTCTGTCCCAGTTGCCCCTCTTCCAGGCCAGCCCTCTGCTATGGCCCAGGAGTGCAGTAGAGGATGGCCCAAGTGCTTGGGCCCTGCACCTGCCTGGGAGACCAGGAGAAGCACCTGGTTCCTGGCTGCGGATCAGTGCAGTGCGCCGGCCGCAGCACGCCGGCCGTGGCAGCCACTGGAGGGTGAACCAACGGCAAAGGAAGACCTTTCTCTCTGTCTCTCTTTCTCACTGTCCACTCTGTCAAAAAAGAAAAAAAAAAAAGAGATAAGCTATTATGATTTCCTAATCTTTTCTGAGTGAAAGGCCTTTCTCACCACACACATTTCATAAAGATGTGAAGATCCAAGCTACTTTCAATAATCATGAGCATGTATTAGAAATTAGTTTTACATAATTTCTTCATATGCAATAAAAATGCATTATAGGGTAATGAAGAATCATTTAAGTTAACACATACAAATCAATGATATAAAAGGAAGTGGGTTTAGTACTTTAGTACTTTCTGTAAGGCTTGACAATAAGAAAATTTTAAGATCTAAGCAATTTAATAGCATAGTTTCAAACTATACTTCTATTTATATCATATTATTTCATTTAACAAAAAATTGAGTACCTACTATGTATATATAACACAATTTCTAGGTCCAAGGCCTTCCCAGTCCTGGGGAGAAGACAGTATAAAAGTCTTCTCGGTGTTATTAGCATGGTATGTAAAAAGTACTGAGAGCAGGGATGAAAACATGGGTATCCGACACCAGTAATTAGAGCTATTCCCTATGTTTCCTTACCTGGGTGGGAACACACAGAGCAATGAGCCAGTTTCTTAGTGACAGCTGGTTGTGGATTAGAGTGAGATTTTTCATTCCACTGATCAAACCTTTAATGGAAAGTGGTTAAAAAAATAAAGGTTACAAAAATGTCATGCTCGCAAGTGTCAGCCTTTCTATTTCCTTTCACCTGCCTAATTATTTTTCCTTTGGTAGCAGATAGTTGGCCTAGTCTGTGAAAATCCTCCAAGTTTTAAATGTGGCCTCAGGGGTTGCTGTTGTGGTGTAGCAGGTACAGCTGCTGTCTGCGCTGCCTGCATCCCATATGGGTGCTGGTTCAAGTTCCAGCTGCTCCACTTCCTATCCAGCACCCTGCTAATGGCCTCGCAAAAGCAGCGGAAGATGAATCAAGTGTCTGGGCCCCTGGGAGACCTGCATGAAGCTCCTGGCTTCAGCCTGGCGCAGTACTTGCTGTTGCAGCCATCTGGGGAGTGAACCAGTCGGTGGAAGCTCTCTTGCTTGGTAAATCTGACTTTCAAATAAACAAATACATCTTTTTTTTTTTTTTTTAAAAGTAGCCCCAAAAACAGAATTTCAAGAGAGAAAATGTGTTTGTATGTGGGTATATCCATATACCAATATGGCCATATAAATGTATAGATATGTATCAATTCAGTCTGTTCTTTTCAAAAACATAAATAGGACAAAAATACATAAAGCAAATTATTTGTACATCTTATTTTTATCTTTTGAGTGTGCCAGAGTGTAAAACAATCATATACACAAACATTTCTCTATATCAGAAATAAGAGTAAAGAGTAACATAAAGCAAAATACAACACTAAGCTTCTGGGTAAAAAAGGTTTAAGGGGGCCAGCATTACAGCATAGCCAGTTAAGCTGCAGCCTAGAGACCCCGATGCTCCACTTCTGATCCAGTTCTTTGTTAATGCACCTGGGAAAGCAGTGGAAAATGACCCTGGGCCCATGCACCCATGCTGGGAGAACTGGAAGAAGCTCTAAGCTCGTGGCTTTGGCTTGGCACAGTCCTAGCTGTTGCGGATATCTGGGGAGTAAACCTGCAAGTGGAAGATCTCTCTGTCTCTGCAACTCTGCCTTTCAGATAAATTAAAACAAAAACAAAAACAAAACTTAAAAAAAGAAAAAACTACTGGGGGCTGGCACTGTGGCACAGCAGGTTAAAGCCCTGGCCTGCAGCACTGGCATCCTATATGGGTGAATCTAGCTCCCTGCTAACACGCCTGGGAAAGCAGCAGCGGATGGCCAAAGTCCTTGCTTGAGTCCCTGTACCCACATGGGAGACCAGAAGCTCCTGGCTCCTGGCTTCACATCGGCTCAGCTCCAACCATTTCGGCCATTTGGGGAGTGAACCAGCAGATGGAAGACCTCTTTCTATTTCTCTACCTCTCTCTGTAACTCTCTACATCATTTGAATATCATTTCCTGATCTCTTATGCAAATAGCAAAACATTACCTGTTACATGAACAATTTTAAGAAAAATGTGTATTACCGCAAAGATTTCTTCTACATGAACATTAATTTTACTTTCTGGCTAAAGATCTAGGATAATATAAAACCACCAAGTCCCAGTTAGGCACTAATCATAAACCTAGATGTTTTAATTATGTTCCTTTACTTACAGGAGGTAAAGTTTTAATAAAAAACAGTTTACTGCACAGTATCTGCTACTTCGAGTTATTATTTAGCTGCTAGAGTTTCTAACATGTTATCTACAAGCTTGCTAAAAATTAGCATTAATTACTTCTGGATAAGTGAAATTAAGTACAGGAAAAGTCAATCTAAGTGAATAAAATCAGAATAATATAACAATAATTATAAGATAATTATAAAATAAATATATCATTATTTTCAAGTGTTAAGAAAATCCCTCATTTAAAGTTGGCAGAGTTCATATTTTCTGAAGCCACTTCAATAAGAATGGTTTGGAAATAGCCAAGTACCCTATTTGCTTGCTTTTCACTCTTTTTATAACTCTTCCTAATTCCCAAGTGGTTCCTTAGCTTACGCTCCTGCCCAAGTGCACCCTTTCTCTTGCTTGGGTGCAGCAATCACTGATGTCAATAAGGATTTGCTGATGAAGTTCTAGATCTATCAATAGTTACAGCTGAAACAGGAGCCTTATAGGAAAAAGCAATTTGAAATAGTTTTCATGGTAATTTTGCCTTCAGTCTACCACTCAACGCTTCTTTACAGGGCTCACCATTTCAAATCTATTGGAGGCAAAGACTGTTTTGAGTTTCCTAGTCTCCTAGTTACTTTCTTTTATACATTACCGCAATTCATATTAATTACAAACCATTGCTTTCATCAAATAAACATAATTCATATGTTTCTAAGAGAGTATTAGGGGTTGGCAATGTGGCATACTGGGTAAAGCTGCCACCTGTGATGCCAGTATCCTCTGTGGGTGCCAGCTGAAGTCCTGGCTGTTCCTCTTTCTATCCAGCTCTCTGCCATGGCCTGGGAAAGCAGAAGATGGCCCAAGTGCCTGGGTCCCTGCACCCACGTGGGAGACCTGAAAGAAGCTCCTGGCTCTTGGTTTCAGATAGGCCCAGCTCCAGTCATTGCGGCCATTTGGAGAGTGATCCAGAGGATGGAAGACCTCTCTCTCTCTCTCTCTCTCTTTTAAACTCTGACTTTCAAATAAATAAATCTTAAAAAAAAAAAAAAAGAGTAAATAGAATAGTTTATGAACTTCAAATAATGTGTTTATCTTCAATCTTCAAATTGCAGAGTCTGAATCAGAATGAATGTCTCAGTAAATGCACAAAGAATGTAAAACAACTATTTTGATCAAGTGATCCTTATTATTAAATATTTACAACATGTCACAGACATTTCATTTACAGAAAGTAAATACAATATCACTCTTAAATACAAAATTATTTCTTAGCTTTACTTGTTGGTAAAATAGTCTAAAATAGCCTGCAGCAAAGCGCCCGCGGTTATAAATATATGTATCTGACATTGTATAAGGTGTGTTCAGTGATTTAATAATATAGTTAAGTAAATACAGTAAAATTAGACTTGCAGTCTCATCCTCTCTTTGGAAAACTTCAGAATAAGTGAAAATAAATTATTTTAAATGAAAATATATGCTAGTTTAAAATTACAAGGTTTTTATGGAGACATAATCTTTCTGTAATATTCACTTTCAGGTTCAATAAGAATAAAAGTTCAATGTTACAAGGAAAATAATTTGTAGTTACCTCTGAAGTAAACTTTGCCCTTTCAAAATCTGTATAAGTTTTAATGCTTGTTCTTTTCCAACTCCAGGGACTCCCTTTCAGAAAGTGGGGAAAAAAAATCATGTTAGTCGCTAGAGAAAGGTAAAGTGTGTGTTACATTAATTCAATGGGAGAAGGCACAGATGAAAGAACGAATGAAACAACTATGTAATGATAGAAAAAATGTGCAAGATAGAGTGTTATATGTTAAACAAAACTTGTACGATTAAAGTATAGGATATGATTTGGATTTTAAAATTAAATAACAATTACCTGTTAATCTATGTAAACAGTAAATTCAGAATTATATATTAATTCACTGACAATGTTTATTTTAGGGAAGATAGGGACATAATTTTAGAAGGCTTTCCTTTATTATGTTAATTATTTTGAGAATATTTTAAGTTGACTCAACTTTGTGGTATTTTTAATCAGGAAAAAGTAAGTTCACTTAATTATATGAACATTTAGTATTTAATGATCTAGACATCAGATGAGAATAGAGTTCCAAGTTAAATCTTCAAAGTAAAAACTTAATTAAAAACAAGCATGAATTTCCAATACATACAAACTATATACATACATGGATGTTCATGTCACTATTTCTCTTTTAAATTGAATCTTTAAATAAAAGCCACTGTTCAGGGCTGCCTGCCTCTGTAAACTGAATTGCTGCCAACCCACCTATCCTGGGATCCAGCTACTAAAAAGCTAGTCCATGGCACAGCAGAGGGCACTCAGAACACTACTGTATCTCTACAGCCTGTCTTAGGCAAGGCTAGTTAGATTTATTGCCCCTCTTGTATTTGCATTTACTACATCTGTAATATTCTGAAGGCATATCATGTTAGTACCTGGTCTTAAAAATCTTTGAGTAGAACAGTGTAGAAGTAGCAGCTTCAGTTATAAAGGACAATGTCAAAATAGCTAAGGATAATGTTTAACATAAACAATGTCATAGTTGAAGCTGGTTTCTGTGAGCTTAATTTGGCAATTTTTTTCTTAAATTCAACACTGGCTTGTTTCTAGTTTTTAATTATGATATAATTATATGAGAAATGGTGATTTTCTTTATCAGAATAATTATAATAAAATACTTAATGTGGTATTCAGAAGTTTTCTTCCTGCATTCTTTTCTTGCTTATTTAAAAGAAATTGCTGACTTCTCTATTTGGTCACTAATGGCATCAATTAGAAACGAGGGTTAATAATTTTACCATTTTTTTTAATTCAAACCCCAGGTGGAGAAAAATTATATGGCATTCTTCCTTCTACTTCTCTTGGGAGCATAGGAAAATGAGAGATTTGCAAGGATACCAAGGGAGGTAACTATATAGCAGTGCCAGTCGTTTTTATACTTTTGCACATTGCATTTCAGAAAATGGGGTTGTTTTCCTGATTTTTAGTCATCACTCACTTATGTTACCCACTTGTTGCAAGGCACTATATTGTACATCTTAAGAGATACATAAAATATGTTCATCAACAAAACCAGTGCAATGCTCAGAGCCACGCAGGTATGAATGCCTTACTACAGTACTCAAGTTGCTTAGCAACAGTAATAACAACACTGAGCATGTGCACAGCTGGAAAGCTACAATGGACATGAAAACTAAATTATAGACAAAATAGTGATAGAAACTAATATTAGCATAATACAAGAAAATAATAATGCCTATATTTCCTTAAAAAGGTAGTCAAATTTGAATGTGAATCTCTTAATACAGAAAAAAGATTTACTGAGATTCAAACTGTGGTACTACATTTTTATTCTCATTTAAAATATCTAGCATCACTAGTCAGCTTTTTAATGTCATCTGAAATGCTATTGTTTCAGTGGCTGAATCGCTCATTATATGTAAAATTCTATTTTAAATTAGATTTTTACATCACCATATTCAGGTGTCCAACAAGACACAATTAGGATTTCAACTCACCTTTGGGAGATAATCACAGCCAAGAAGAATTGCTAGTCCAACCAGAGCATCTCTGTCCAAACCTAACTGAACCTTGATAGATGACATCGAATAACAATCAACATGTGGGTCCTACAGAAAAGACAGATTTAGTTTAATCTTCTCAAAGTATCAAAATAAAAGAAAAATCACAAAACATAATTTATCAAATATTTAATTTTTAAATGTTTAATTATTCTTAAAACTTTAAATAGGAAAATTATGCCAATCACCAGAATCTTCATAGAATCTGACACTTCATTATATGAAAATAAAGCCATAGTTTCAAAACAGGCCTAAAAAATAAACTTTCGTAGTCATTTGCTCTCTCTGGTGCCTTTTGGTATCTAAAAAGGTACACTTGAATCTAATAAAATAAAGCACTATAAAAATAAATATCGTAGAAAGTAAACATTACCTATAATTACATCACTAAAAGTTAACTACTATTGGGGCCGACGCTGTGGTGTAGCAGGTAAAGCCGCCACGTGCAATGCCGGCATCTCATATGGGTACCGGTTTGAGTTCTGGCTGCTCCTCTTCCAATCCAGTTCTCTGCTATGGCCTGGGAAAGCAGTAAAAGATAGCCCAAGTCCTTGGGCTCCTGCACCAATGTGGGAGACTTGGAAGAAGCTTCTGGCTCCTGGCTTTGGGTTGGTGCAGCTCCAACCATTGTGACCATCTGGGGAGTGAACCAGTGGATGGAAGACCTCAATCTCTCATTCTCTCTCTCTGCCTCTCCTTCTCTGTGTAACTGACTTTCAAGTAAATAAATATTTTTTTTTTAAAAAAAGTTAACTACTATTAGCAGTTTGGTACTTATTTTTTCAAAAACTATTTTCTGAGACATATATACTAACATGAGTGACTTTAAAAAGTTTGTTTGAAAGTAGCATTAAAAGATAAATACATTTTGTAAAAAAATTTTTTGAAATCCATGCATAGGTTTTTCATAATCACACATTTTCCATAAACTTTTTGAAGACCGTTATCCTTCTTAATGATCATTTTAAGTAAATTTATGTAAATACACCATTTTGCAACATACGTCTCTACTAATATCTGGATACCTTTTATGTCATTAACATCTACCTTTTTAAATGACTACTTAGCTTATCATATGGATTCTGTGCCAGTGTTCTCAATGGGGATGCTACTGGTATTCTAGAAGAGGCTAGCAAGACTGGTAGCTCACTTGGCTCCAGTTCACTCAATGTCTAAGCAGGGTCTCCCTTGTCCAACTCTAAATGGTAATAACCCAAATGCTCCCAGGTTAGAAACCATGGTGGATAACCAATGAGCATTTGGGTCACTTGCTGGATTTTTGGAACTGTTAATGACACAAGGAACATCCTTCTCTATTTCTTCCTCATCCCAACCCCCAGAAACCTTTTATTTAAGGAATACAAACTTCATGCATTTCATAAATACAAAATTGGTAAGGAACATAGTGATTCTTCCCACCCATTTCTCCTTTCCACCCACTCTCCACCCCTCTTCCAACTGCTGCTCCTATTCTCACTTATTTTTTACTAATATTTATTTTCAATTAACTTTATACATATGATTACAGTTCAACAAATTGTATGGAAAAAAAAAAACTGTTCCTCAACAGTTGAGACAAGGGCTGTTCAAAGTCATTGCATCTTGAACTGTTAATTTCACTTCTATAGATTACTTTTTAAATGCTCTACTAGTTATCACAGGTCAGAGAGAATATATGGTATTAGTCCTTTTGGGATTCGCTTATTTTACTAACTATGTTCTCCAGTTTCATCCATTTTGTTGTAAATGACAGGATTTCATTTTTTGTTCTGCTCTGTAGTATTCCATGGTGTATACATCCCATAATTTCTTTATCCAGTCTTCAGTTGACAGGCATTTGAGTTGATTCCATATCTTAACTATTGTGACTTGAGCTGCAATAAATATGGGAGTACAGATAACTCTTTCATATGCTGATTTCATTTCCCTTGGGTAAATTCCCAGGCTGGTCACATAGTAGGTCTGCATTCAGATTTCTGAGGTATCTCTGTACTGTCTTCCATAGTGGCTGTACCAATTTACATTCCCACCAACAGTGGATTAGGGTACCTCTTCCCCCACATCTTCCCAGCATTTGTTTGCTCATTTCTGCATGAAAGCCATTCTAATGGGGTGAAGTGAGAAACCTCATAGTAGTATTTTTTTTAGGATTTTACTTATTTATTTGAGAGGCAGAGTTATAGACACAGAGAGGGAGAGACAGAGAGATCTGCCATTCAATGATTCACTTCCTAAATGGCCAAATGGTCGGAGCTAAACTGGTGCGAAGACAGGAACCAAGAGCTTCTTGCAGGTCTCTCACAAGGGTGCAGAGGCCCAAGAGGTTGGGCCATCTTCCACTGCTTTCCCAGACCATAAGCAGAGAGCTGGATTGGAAGAGGAGCAGCCAGGACACAAACTGGTGCCCACATGGGATGCACGTGCAAAGGCAGAGGCTTAACCTACTGCGCTACAGCGCTGCCCCCCTCATTGTGGTTTTGATTTGCATTTTCCTGACGGCTAGTGTTCCTGAGCATTTTTTGATGTGTCTGTTGGTCATTTGGATTTCCTCTTTTGAAAAATGCCTGTTCAAGTCCTTTGCCCATTTCTTAACTGTTTTTTTTTTTTTTTTTTTTTTTTTTGACAGGCAGAGTGGACAGTGAGAGAGAGAGACAGAGAGAAAGGTCTTCCTTTGCCGCTGGTTCACCCTCCAATGGCCGCCGCTGCAGCCGGCGCACCGCGCTGATCCTGGCAGGAGCCAGGAGCCAGGTGCTTTTCCTGGTCTCCCATGGGGTGCAGGGCCCAAGCACCTGGGCCATCCTCCACTGCACTCCCTGGCCATAGCAGAGAGCTGGCCTGGAAGAGGGGCAACCGGGACAGAATCCGGCGCCCCAACCGGGACTAGAACCCGGTGTGCCGGCGCCGCAAGGTGGAGGATTAGCCTATTGAGCCACGGCGCCGGCTCAACTGTTTTTTTTTTGTTGTTGTTGTTGTTCTTGTTGAGTTTCTTGATCTCTTTATACATTCTGGTTATTAATCCTTTATCAGTTGCATAGTTTGTAAATAACTTCTCACATTCTGTTAGTTGCCTCTTCACTTTGGTATTTCTTTTCTGGCATTTCTAATTTCAGTGCAGAAGCTTCTCAACTGGATGCAATCCCATTTGTGAACACTGGTTTTGATTACCTGTGCCTCTGGGGTATTTTCCAAGAACTCCTTGCATATGCCAATGTCTTGCAGGATTTCTCCAATGTTCTCTAAGAATTTGTTGGTATCAGGTGGTACAGTTAGGTCTTTGATCCATTTTCAGTGGATTTTTGAGTAAGGGGTAAGGTAGGGGTCTTGCTTCACACTTCTGCATGTAGAGAGCGGAGATCCAGTTTTCTCAGCACCATTTGCTGAAGAGACTGTCCTTTTCCTAGGGATTGATTTTAGTTGCTTTGTCAAAGATAACTTGGTTGTAGATGCATGGTTGATTTCTGGCATTTCTATTCTGTTCCACTGGTCTATCCATCTGTTTTTGTACCAGTACCAGGCTGTTTTCCCTGTAGTATGTCTTGAAATCTGGTATCGTGATGCCTCTGGCTTTTTTTAAGATTTTATTTATTTATTTGAAAGTCTGAGTTACACAGAGAGAGGAGAGGCAGAGAGAGAAAAAGAGAAAGAAAGAGAGAGAGAGAGAGAGGTCTTCCATCCGATGGTTCACTCCCCAGATGGCTGCAATGGGCGGAGCTGTGCCAATATGAAGCCAGGAGCCAGGATGTGGGTGCAGGGGCCCAAGGACTTGGGCCATCTTCTACTGCTTTCCCAGGACACAGCAGAGAGCTGGATTGGAAGAGGAGCAGCCGGGACTAGAACTGGTGCCCATATGGGATGCAGAGCTTCAGGCCAGGGTGTTAACCCGTTGTGCCACAGCACCAGCCCCTGGCTTTATTTTTGTTATATAAGATTGCTTTAGCTATTCAGGGTCTCCTGTATATCCATATGAATTTCAGCATCATTTTTTTCTATATCTGATAAGAATGTCCTTGGTATTTTGATTGGGAGCTCATTGAATCTGTAAATGGCTTTTGGTTGTATGGACATCTTGATAATAGTACTTCTTCCAATCCATGAACGTGGAAGATTTTTCCATTTTTTTTTTTTGTATCTTCTATTTCTTTAATGTTTTGTAATTTTCATTGTACTGTTCTTTGACATCCTTGGTTAAAATTTATTCCAAGGTATTTGATTGTTTTGTAGCTTATGTGAATTGGATTGATCTTAGTTCTTTTCAGCTGTGGCACTGTCTATATACATAAAGGCTATTGATTTTTGTGTGCTGATTTTATATCCTGCCACTTTACCAAACTCTTCTATGAGTTCCAATAGTCTCTTAAAGGAGTTTTTTGGATCCCCTATACATAGAGTCATGTCATCTGCAAATAAAGATAGTTTGACTTCTTCCTTCGCAATTTGTGTCATTTTGATTTTTCTTCTCTAATGGCTCTGGCTAAAATTTCCATGACTACATCGAATAGCAATGGTAAGAATGGGCATCCTTGTCTGGTTCTAGATCTTAGTGGAAATGCTTCCAACTTTTCCCTATTCAATATGATGCTGGTCATGGGTTTGTCATAAATTGCCTTGTGTTGAAGAATGTTCCTTCCATACCCAATATGCTTATGTCTATGTTCATCAGAGAAATTGGTTCTTTCACTTTTGTACCTTTTTCAGGTTTAGTAATTAAGGTGATCCTAGCTTCATAAAAGTTTGGGAGGATTCCCTCCCTCTCAATTGTTTTGAATAGCTTAAGAATTGAATTTAGTTCTTTAAATGTCTGCTAGAATTCAGCAGTGAAGTGGTCAGTCCTGGGCTTTGCTGGGAAGGTTTTTATTACTGATTCAATTTCCATCTTGGTTATTCATTTATTTAGGTTTTCTATGTCATCATGGCTCAGTTTAGGCAGGTTATATATATCTAGGAATCCATTTTTTCCAAGTTTCCTGATTTTTTGGCATACACTCTTTGTAGTAATTTCTGATGATTCTTTTTATTTCTGTGGTGTCTGTTGTTACACTTCCTTTTTCATTTCTAATTTTATTGATTTGGGTCTTCTTCTCTTTTGGTTAGTTGGGCCAACAGTGGTTCAATTTTGGTTATTTTTTGAAAAAATCAGCTTTGCAGTTTGCTGATATTTTGTAGCTTTTTTTGATTTCAATTTCATTTACTTCTCTAATTTTAATTATTTTGCTTCTACTAGTTTTGGGTTTGTTGTTTTTCTAGGTCCTTGAGATGCACTGATAGCTCATTTATTTGGTGACTTTCCAATTTCTTAATGTAGGCCCCCAACTTTCTTTTTCTTTCTTTTTTTTTTTTTTTTTTTGACAGGCAGAGTGGACAGTGAGAGAGAGAGAGACAGAGAGAAAGGTCATCCTTTCTAGAGATTCTTGAGTTCTAGAGATTCTTGAGTTGTTGATTTCCAGCTTCATTCCATTGTGGTCAAAGATGAATAGTATGATTTTGAGTGTTTTGAATTTGCTGAGATTTGCTTTATGGCCTAGCATGTGGTCTATCCGAGAGAAAGTTCCATGCACTGAGTAGAATGTGTATTCTGCAACAAGATGCAGAATTGCTACATTTTCTGTCTGGTTAATCTGTCCATTGCTGAAAGTGGAGTATTGATGTCCCCTATTATTACTGTTTTGGAGTCTATGTCTCCCTGTAGATACATTAGCATTTCTTTTAAATAGCCAGATGCCCTGTAATTAGGTGCATATACATTTATTATAGTCACATCTTTCTGTTAAATTTATCCCTTAATTATTACATAGTACCCTTCTTTAACAGTTTTTCTGTTAAAGGCTATTTTGTCTGATATTAGGATGGCCAATTATTTTCCTAATTTCTTCTTTTTTTTTTGGTCTGACTATAAAATTTCCAGAGATTTGTCTTCTAACTTTGATATTGTTTCCTCTGCCTCATTGTGTCTGTTCTTAAGGCTTTCCACCATATTATTTATTTGTTCTATTGAATTCATTTCCAATATTTCATTCTGATTTTGCTTTAAAATTTGAATTTTGTGGGAAAAAACTTCATTTACATCATGTACAGATTTCTTTAGTTCATGAATTTGCTTCTGATTATTTCTAAGTAATCCTACAACCAATTTTTTGAGTTCAATTCTGGCGTTTCCTCAATTTCTTCATCTGTAGATTCTAGTATTGAAATTGTGTTCTTTTGGGTGCGTCACTTGTCTTCCTTATTCTTGTTTCTTGAATTGCTGCATTATTATTAGGCATTTGTGGTGATACTTGCTCCCCCCCACACCATGATGGCTATTATCTTTGGACTATGTCTCTGTGTCTTAGTGGACTGTCTTCTCTTTCAGTGAATACCCAACACATGTGCTGAGTCAGTCATGGTGTTCTTTCAGTGCTCCAGGGTGAGGGGATTGTCCAAGGTGACACCCAAGTTGGGTGTGGTAAATTTCTTGTTTTTTTTTTTTTTTTTTTTTTTTAAATCACGGGGGTGGTTTGTTCTGCTCTGTTGGCATATTCTCATGCTCACGTACTTTCCTCAAAGGAGACCAATGCCTGGGTGCTAGCTCCAGTGGGTATAATTTTCATCTGCACTGCCACAAGAACCACACAAAAGATCCGTGAAGTCTTCAGTGTGAACAGAGATCCTGCAAGAATGACCCTCACCAGGGAATCAGGGAGCCCTGAGTATATGGAGAGGCCCACAGTGACTGCCCAATGTCCCAGCCATATCCTGTGCCCTCCCACACAGTCCAGTGTTTCCAGTTACAGCACACAAGGCTCCCACAGTCACTATTACCCAGTCCCTGGTTAATTCTCCTAGCCAACTTAGACATCTCCTCTTGGCTGGTTGCTAGGCACGCAGACATGAGCTGTTACATGTGCCCAAAATGGTGCCTGCCCTTTCTTGGCTGGTTATAGGATGCCGGTACAGGGTAGTCAGGAAGAGAAAAACATGCCCAACATGCCCCCCCGCCCTGCTTTTTCCTCTGGGTTGGCAGGTACACTGTCCCCTACAGGGCTCCAAGCCAGGCCCACATTAGGTACTTCCTGCAGCTTTACCACCAGTGACTTAGGCTGCTGCAGTCTGATCTCATCTCACTTCAGAGCTGGTGCTGAGGCTCTCAGCTGCTGGGGTCCAGAGGTGTGCGCATCCACTCCCTCCACAGTTTGCATGGAGTTTCCTCTGCTGTTTTCTCCCTAACCCTTCCCTGAAATTGCACTCTGTCCACTTTCTTTTAACTATTCTCCCCTAGAGTAGAGCTGTAAGCTCCCTTTCTATTTTGCCATCTTCTCTGGGAACACATCCTTTTATATTTCTACTTGCACATTTGGAGATGTTTTTGAGGATGAAATACTAAAACCTGGAATTCTGGGTCAAATCCATTTTAAGTACAATCCTGTGATATATTATTGAAACTGATTTAGAATTAAACCATATGAGACAAGTCAAGCCCTTTGGAGAGAAATCTACATTTTAAAGGAGCAAACTATGTGGCAATGGTATTTTAAATAAACAGTAAATATTCGGCAACTGCTATATGCCAGGTATTTTAAATATTTTTACATGCATCATTTCATTTAATGAGTCCTTTTAAAAGAGAAAGAAAAAGCTACCTTCACATTCATTGTGAAGTTTCTGTAAACAGTCTGGGCCCCATAAAGAAAAGCATCTCCATCATTGGTGAGGCAGCCATCTACATAACCTTCGGCATTGAGGTAGGCACACATGGCTTCAGCTTCCCCAGCGGCTTGAACCCAGGGTATTCCTAAGCAGTCCAGCAAATCCAGGCACTGAAAACAAGTAGGTGCAAGAAATTACAAATTTTTGTAACTGTTAATTTCTTCAGTTTTTTAACTTAGCTGTGTATTACAAACAGTAGCTAGTTAGGGGTTTTTAAAAATCATTATATTTAATAAACTATGAACACTAAATACCTGATGATATTAAAGTTAACACAAAACTTTTAGGAATAATAATAATATTGTGCATATGTCTTTTCTTGTTTGTCACCTTTTAGAGAAAGGTACTAAAATATTCAAAGTGATACAATTTTTTGGCTGGGGGTTGCCTCAAAATAATGTGGGAGAGGGGAGTGGTGGGGCAAAGATAACACAAGATGGGTCAAGAGAATGACATTTTCCAGATTCATCTATTTTGTTGCAAATAACCGGATTTCATTTTTTTAACACTGATTTACTTTTTTTTTCAATTTTTATCACACCTCTGAAAAGTATTACTACCCTCCTTTTAGAGATAAGAAATGAGGCAGAGATAGGTTAAAAATCTTGCCCAACGTCTTGGCTTCTAGTTGTCAATACCAGAACATGGACACTTAGAAATTCAGGTTAGTTTTACTCTAAAATATAACCTTTTCCTTCTAGCTAGATTGGGTTTCTATTCATAGTAAGGTTAATTATTAAAGATGGTGACTGGCATTGTGGTGTAGCAGGTTAAGCCTCCACCTGCAGTGCCGGTATCCCATATAGGCAGCAGTTTGAATACTGGCTGTCCCATTTCTGATCCACTTCTCTGCTGATGGCATGGGAAAGCAGTGGAAGATGGTCCAAGTGCTTGGGCTCCTGCACTCAAGTGGGAGACCTGGAACAGTTTCCTGGCTTTGGCCTAGCTCCAGCTGTTGTGGCCATTTGGGAAGTAAACTAGCAGATGGAAGATTTCTTTCTCTAACTCTGCCTCTCAAATAAAGACAATTAAATTAAAAAAAATTATTAAAGATGACAGGAATGGGTATTTGGTGCAATGGTTAAGATACAGCCAAGACACCTGTATCCCTTATCAGTGCCTCGTTACAGTCCTAGCTGCGCTTCTGATTAGCATCCTGCTAATGTACACCCTGGGAAACAGCAGGCAATGACTCAAATTTCCTGGTTCCCTGCCACTCATGTGGGAGACCCAGATTAAGTTCCTGGCTCCTGACTTTGGTCTGGCTCAGCCCCAGCTGTTGTGGGCATTTAGGGACTGAACCAGTAGATGTGAGCTCTGTTTGTGTCTCTCTCCCTTTCAAATAAAAATAAGTTTTAAATTAATTTTTAAAAGATGACATATTTTAGTAGAGTAAAATATATTCTTGAAATCTGAATTATTGAATTAAATCTGAAGGCTCACCTCTCTCAAAACCAGTTTAAAGTGTGATCTCCCTGTTTGCTGAGACAATGTTTTTCCAGAAGACCCATAACGAATTTGATTCCTCTTGCTTATGACATCAGCTTTCAGCTTTGGTGGTTCCCCTTCCATAACAAACACTAATTTGACATCCATTTGCATTAAATATGAGATACGAAAAAACAGGTTTCTGAAATGTATAAATCAGTATTAATACAACCATCATAAATTTACTGCAAGTCAAAATAGAAATAAAGGCAAGAACAATAGACTAGTATCAAAAGCATTACATGCAATAACATTTTATTTACTAAGTTAACATTTTGCTCAGTGGGAAACCACTGAATGTTCTTCTGCAAGGGAGACTTAACTGTCATCCTAACTGCTATGCGGAAAACAGCCTGGAGGAGGCGGCCCAGAGAAGGGGAAGGGAAATTTGTGAAGATGTCAGTTCAGCAGCCCCGGTGAAGGACCAGCGTGGTGCAGACTGAAGTGCTGTCTCTGACAGTGAGTGGAGTTTGTGAACACAAAGGACAGTGTAGAAGTGGAACTGGCAAGACTTACTAATGGAGTGGACAAAATAAGGAGACAATGGCTCCCAATTTCTGGCTATTAATAACTGAAGCATCCTAGTTGGTATGTTATTTAGGACAATGAAGAGGGTTAAAGATGGAAATCTGTGAGTTATCACTATACAAGGGGGCAGATCTGGACACATACATACCTTAAAATCTCAAAATGCAAAAGGACAACAAGAAAAAGAAATCAAGTAGAAACAAGACTAAGACCACAAGTGTGCTTACACAATTACACATCTACAGCCTGAGAACTTTGATTACATATTTATTATACCTGAGATGTGGCTTCATGACGGTTCCAATCATTTTTTTGACTGTCTGTGCTTCACACACCCAGAGACTCAGATCAACTGCAATAGTTTTCCCACCAAGATTCTGCAAGTGGATGTGTTGCTTCACAGGCTCCAGAATTTGCCACAAGTCATTCACTCCCATTCTGCTGATAATCTGTTATTTGAAACATAACTTAATTTTTAAAAACAAGATTTATTTATTTGAAAGGCAGAGCTACAGAGAGGCAGAAGCAGAGAGAGAGAGAGAGAGAGAGAGGTCTTCCATTCGCTGGTTTACTCCCCAGATGGCTGCAATGGCCAGAGCCAGGCCAATCTGAAGCCAGGAGCCGAGAGCTTCTTCCAGGTCTCCCATGCAAGTGCAGGGGCCCAAAGACTTTGGCCATCTTCTACTGCTTCCCTAGGCCATAGGAAAGTGAGCTGGATGGGAAGTGGAGTATCTGGGACTTGAACAGCACCCATATGGGATGCCAGCACTGCAGGCTGGTGGCTTTACCTGCTATGTCACAGTGCCGGCCCCTAAAACATAACTTTATAAACTGTTGTTAAAAGCTCTTGGGTACCAGTCCTCTATCATAATCAGGGAAACAAAAACAAAAACAAAAAGCAAAACCAAAAAACCAAGAGCAAGATAATAAGTAAAAAAAAACTGAAGGAAACACCAAAGGATTAATGAAGAAAAATGGATGGGAAAGTGGGGGTAAAACAAGGGATAAGAAAACAGAAAGAGCATTAGATTTTTATGTTGCAAAGTCATACATGTTCATTTTGAAAAAATAAAAGGAAAATTTAAAGAAAAGATGTTTTGGCTGGTGCCGCAGCTCACTAGGCTAATCCTCGTGTCGGTATTCCGGGTTCTAGTCCCGGTTGCTCCTCTTCCAGTCCAGCTCTCTGCTGTGGCCCGGGAAGGCAGTGGAGGATGGCCCAAGTGCTTGGGCCCTGCACCCGCATGGGGGACCAGGAGGAAGCACCTGCCTCCTGGCTTCGGATTGGCACAGCGCATCGGCCCTAGCGGCCATTTGGAGGGTGAACCAACGGTAAAAGGAAGACCTTTCTCTCTGTCTCTCTCTAACTGCCTGTCAAAAAAAAAAAAAAAAAAAAAAAAAAAGTTTTATGTCATCTACAGTTATACCACCCAAATAAAACTAATGTTAAACGTTTTTCTTTGTACAGTGAGTACATGATATTTTAAAAACAAAACTCACTTAAGCTCTGCTATTTTTACCTGCTTTAGTATTTTCCTCCTCCTTTGTAATTGTTTGATAATGATAGAGGTAGTTTGTAATGGAAATTGAGTCTGACTATACAAATACAATCCAGATCATCATTGACATCATCAACAGTTGACCTTTGTTCATTCCAAAAACACAAAGCAGAAGACAAAAGTAAATTAAGTCAAAGGCTCTTCTGTATTCAGAAACCTGGTGAATATAACTGATGTACTGTCTGTTCCTTTAAACAGCCATCCTAAGTAATTTTTTTTCAAATTGCACTTCCGTAATGTTAACTAGGCACCTACCATTCTCATCATACACTCCTGTGCAAGGAAAGGGAAGATTTGTGGGAACAAGCACCTGCATGCTCTTTCTGTTCTATTTTCTCAAAACTCCTCATTACTCATGTTCCTAATAAGATTTTGCTCTAGAAAAATTTTAGGAGTCTGCATTAGCAGGAAGCTGTAATCCAGAGCAGAGCCAGGACTTAAATGCAGGCACTCTGATCTGGAATGCAGGTGTGCCACTGGCCATCTTAACTGCTGTGTCAAGCACTCACCCCAAACTTATCTTTTCACACAATTTTTTTTCAATATCTTTTTGAAGTACCCTTGTATCTCATATACATATATATGTAAATATTCCAGAATCTGAAATGCAAAATACTTCTTGTTTCATGCATTTCAGATAGGAGATACTCAAGATATGATAGAACCAGTTCTATTTTTTCTCCAGGCATGTGTGGCTACTCCCAGTGAATCATATTCCATTAATGTCCCGGAATGAAACAACCTAGTACAGGACTACAACAAGTTTCAGTGATGTGTCTCTGATTTTTCTTTACCAGGATCCTCAGAGGGAATACAGTTTATATCACAGTCATATATGTGTGTATGCCATCAGACACAAAAAGAAGTGGCAATCTTCATTACTCTTCAGTTTTATATGTGTCGTTACCTTATATAATGAATCACTCAGGACATGATAGAAAGATTGAACCTTATGGCTGGGAGAGCCATAGAAAATGCACCTTGCCCAAGTCCCCAGGGCTAATTCCTAGGCCATCTTAAGGAAACTAGAAAATCTGAATCATTCTTCCCTCAAAAAGCTATACTGAAGTCTCATTTAATATCCAAGTATTTGGAAATTTGCCAAAGACTGCTTTCTAATATGACCCATGAATTACATATTTGGTCACTTCTAAATCTTTAGAAACAAACCATCTAAAGATTCATAATTTATTTTCCCAAATCATTACATATAAGGGCCACATTTAGTTTTAATTTTTTGTTTTTTAAAGATTTATTTGGGGCTGGCGCTGTGGCATAGCAGGTAAAGCCGCTGCCTGCAGTGCCCACATCCTGTATGGGCGCTGGTTCGAGTCCCAGATGCTTCACTTCCAATCCAGCTCTCTACTATGGCTTGGGAAAGCAGTAGAAGATGGCCCAAGTCCTTGGGCCCCTGCACCCACCTGGGAGACCCGGAAGAAGTTCCAGGCTTCTGGCTTTAGATCAGTGCAGCTCCAGCTGCTGCAGCCAGTTGGGGAGTGAACCAGTGATGGAAGACCTCTCTCTCTCTGCCTCACCTTTTCTCTGTGTAACTCTTTCAAGTAAATAAAAAGTCTTTAAAAATATGAATGTTAGGGTTTCAGAGAGAGGTAGAGACACAGAGAGAGGGCTTCCATCACTGGTTTACTCCTTAGATGACTGCAGCTGCTGGAGCTGGTCCAATCAGGAGCCCAGAGTTTCATCCAGATCTCCCAAGTGGAGGCAGGGACCAAAATACTGGGGCCATCTTCCACTGCTTTCTCAGGCCATTAGCAGGGAGTTGGTGCCCATATGAGGTACTGTCGGTGGCTTAAACTGCCATTGCCACAACAGTGAAGGGCCACATTTTTTGAAACTTTTTTTAATTTGAAAAATAATATATACATATGATTATTTAATAAAGGAAACAACACATAGGTATCTGTTTTGGAGAATAATTCTTGCCATGCCTGAGTTGAAGTTATCCCAGGTATTTTGTACCTGTGTTCATTTGAAAACTTGGAGACTTTTATCAGTATGCATAGATCGATCTCATTTTTTATTTGCTGTAAAATCCAGTCTATCGTCTGAACATACCATCATCTGCTTAGTCCTCTGTTGAAAATGCTTGGTTCTTTCCAGGATATATTGTATATAGATCTGTATATGTCCAAGAGCTTATCGTAAAATAAACCACTGGAAGAGGTATTGATCAGTTGGAAGTATTCTACTTTTAAAATTTTGACCACCTGCCTCAAATTCATGTTTAAATGAAGTAAGATGTTATGACAGTGTTCTTCCAGAGAGAGGAATTGAATTATTTCCTTCAATAGCAATGTATTCTAATATCCAGTGTGAGTCACACATGAGAGGAAAAAAAACTGTCAACAACTTCATGTACAAACTTGAGTTTTATGTGTTCTGTGGTTAATATTTTAAAAGTCCCTTCATAATAATGCCTTAGAGACTATATGCACATATTGTTTTTCCAGCATTAAGCAAAACTTTTCATATTCAGTCTAAATCTATGCCACAATGCTGTACTCAATCAATGGAGCTTCTTGATGTAAAATAAAGTTAGCACTGGATTACCATTAGCTATCAAATGTTTCTTTGTATTTATAAATCTGTATATTTTTCTTTGTAAAAGATATATCCAGTACAAACACTGCCTTTCTTACAAAGGTTAGGATGTTATGCCTCTGCTTGGAAATGTAGAATAAAGGAACAAGGAACTCTACATTAAACAGAATAGGTTTTATAAAAAACACAGCTGTTGGGGGTGTGATTTACCTTTAGAAAAATAGGATATAATAATTAGAACTTTATACAGTTTTAACCTTTTAAAATCAACCGATTAACCTATAAAACTTTAGACTTTTTGTCTAGCACCTTTAGATAAGTTAAGCAAGTTTCATATAGCTGACAAATCCACTATGAATAGAGAAAAGATGAATGGGAAGGTTATGATGAAGCTATGAAAGGAAAATGAAACAAGATTAATAGATGGTCACTTGTGATGTGTTTTCTCAGAAAGAATAGAGGCTTAGGAGGAAGAAGGCTTAATGAAAAGTATTTGTGAAAACACTATAAAGTAAAGCTATGGGAAGGAATGGCAGAATGATGCCTTCCCTTGCTGCCTAACCCCCATCACCTCGGCTCCTTTCTTTGCTGACGCCTCCCCTCCTTCGGGACCCCCTGGACTGTGGTGGCAACAAGTGATGGCTCCATTAGTAGGGACCCTGTCACCTGCATGAAAGACCTAGAATGAGTTCCCAGCTCCAGGCTTCGACCTGGTCCAGGCCAACTATTGTGAGCATTTGGAGAGTGAAGCGGTGGACAGAAAGCAGCTCTTTCTCAAATAAAATTTTTTAAAAGGTAAGCTTATTCTGGAGCAAAACTAATTTTTGAAAGCCATGCATACATTTTTTATTAATATGCCCTTCCATGTAAACCCCTTATAACTAGGAGGTTGGAACCCAAGTCTTAAACACAAAATTAACTATATACACTTTATATACATAGTCCAGAAGTAATTTCATACAACATTTTAAAATAATTTTATGCATGAAATAAAGTTTCAAAGTGTGGAAATTTTCAATATGTGGTATCATGTCAGTGCTCAAAGTTTTGGATTTAGGATCCTTTTGGATTTCCGGATTGGGAATGCTCAACCTGTAATACATTATGTCTCTCACAATTAGGATCCTTTGGCAATATAAAGGCTTATCACAGTTCCCGTAAGTAATATCTGTCATATAACACTATCACACTTAATTTCTCATGTCACTTTAATTTCTTTTGCCATAAATAAGCCTGATTTAAAGAATGAGTAACTAGTTATATTACAAAATAACTGGCAATGGTAATTGAAAGATATCTGCAGTGTCTACCTAGGATATTTACTTTGGCTATACTTCAAAAAGGTGAGTAAAGATCACAAAGTTATCATAATGGCTAGTTAAACACAACTGGTACGAATAACATAGACAAAAAAACAAAGTACAGCCCTCAATCCTTACCATCTCTGTGCTAAAAGTCTTCTCCATTTTCCCTCAGCTAAGTGAAAATGGTTACCACACTAACCTATCTCAAAGCCTATTAAACTGATTTGGCACTTAACCTACAATCTCTGTATATCTACTGAAATGGATTTGAAAAAGGCTGTTAAATTCTTTTCAGAGGCATAAAAAATTACTACTGTGCAACATGCTTCATTTTGTACTTTTCTCTCTGAATTACAGGACATAGGGGGTAATTTTCATAGGCGCTATCCTCTGTAGACACTGTAGAGTCTTTTTATCCTTAGTAATTTATTAATGAATTTGTTAGATCTTTAATTACTACAAAACTATTCCTACGGTCTAAAAAATATGGATTAGAATTATGCTAAGCAACAATATTGAAGGAATTGGGTATAGGCCTGGGAATCAGAACTTTTCTTCACTCTCGTGTCTTCTAATATTCTTTATCCCACATCATCTGATATGTCTCCTGAGGTCTCAACTAGAATATCTAACTGCCTACTTGTTATCTGCCAATGAACACATAATATGCTAACTCTGATTCTACCACCTCTCCTCAAAACTGTTTCTCCTCGTCATCTTTCCCAAATATGTATGCACTCAGCCAGAAACCTAGCAGTCATTCTTGATTTTTCTCTTTCTTTTGCTCCCAATAAACTTGTCAGCAAGACCACTGTCTCCATGATACATCCTAAATCCGGTGTCTAATGATACTTTCCTGATGTGGCCTACAGGATACTGCAGCTGGCTCCTCACTGGCCTTCCTGCTTTCCCTTTTCAGGATCCTCCCCGGCCACACGGAAGCCAGAGGGATGTTGTTTGACAGCTCAAACATTAAAACCATCATCTTTTTGTTTATGGGTAGTGAATTTCCTTGCTGGTGACACAACTTATTTAATTCACAAGTTTCTACATTTATAGTAGCAATCTTATAAACAGTTATAAAATGTAAAATTTGTTTATGCAAAATTATGTGTTCTAAATATATTCTTTTAAATTATTAATATAGGATTATCCTCAGTACAGTCACAATCTAAGCTTAAATATACATGCTCTTTTAGAAGAAGATTCATGCCGGCGCCGCAGCTCACTAGACTAATCCTCTGCCTTGCGGCGCTGGCACACCGGGTTCTAGTCCCGGTCGGGGCACCGGATTCTGTCCCGGTTGCCCCTCTTCCAGGCCAGCTCTCTGCTGTGGCCAGGGGGTGCAGTGGAGGATGGTCCAAGTGCTTGGGCCCTGCACCCCATGGGAGACCAGGAGAAGTACTTGGCTCCTGCCATCGGATCAGCGTGATGTGCCGGCCGCAGCACGCTGGCCACGGCGGCTATTGGAGGGTGAACCAACGGCAAAGGAAGACCTTTCTCTCTCTCTCTCTCTTACTGTCCACTCTGCCTGTCAAATAAATAAATAAATAAATAAATAAAAAGAAGATTCATAAAAGTAGAGTATTAAAAGACTACTTACATAATTTTGTAAGGGAAAATAACATGAAATGTATATTTTATTAAAAGAACACCATAGTTATTATTTTTTTTTTTTTAATTTTTGACAGGCAGAGTGGACAGTGAGAGAGAGAGACAGAGAGAAAGGTCTTCCTTTGCCGTTGGTTCACCCTCCAATGGCCGCCGCGGCTGGCGCACTGCGCTGATCTGAAGCCAGGAGCCAGGTGCTTCTCCTGCTCTCTCATGGGGTGCAGGGCCCAAGTACTTGGGCTATCCTCCACTGCACTCCCTGGCCACAGCAGAGAGCTGGCCTGGAAGAGGGGCAACCGGGACAGAATCCGGCGCCCCGACCGGGACTAGAACATGGTGTGCCGGCACCGCAAGGTGGAGGATTAGCCTGGTGAGCCGTGGCGCCAGCTCATAGTTAGTTTTAAGAGAGCAGTTAATCTCAAATCTCTGTTTCCATCATCTATTGTTTCCCTTCCTGGTCACACGTTATTGGTACTAATTATTTCCCTGAAATGGCATTAATGGTTAAGACTATAAAAGCATGTAGAACTCCTAAAAGGGACAGACTGGTACAGCTTTTAAGATAATGAACTATACTGAAAGATAGAACAGATGGCTCTTGTATGTGGTTATAATCAACTTAATGAGATTACTTAAAAATAGTTCAGCATTAAGTGAAATTTAAAAGCAATACACACACCAAATTTATGAAAAACTATGTATAGTTTTGTCATGTTATGTTTTAATAGAGTGAAATTTGAAATTTTTTTGTGGTGTGGAATTTGGTGAGTCTATTGTCCTTTGTAATTTTATTTATATCAATTTACTCAGGCAATCAATATATATGACATGTTCACAATTCTTAGTTGTGGTAAAAGAATATTATGTCAATCAAAAAACTTAAGACAACACATAGCAAATAACTTTACGGTTTACAAGTAGCTTCAATTTATTTAGTTTACTGAAAAAAAAGCACAGGACTTGTGAAAGACAGTCTAGGATTTGGTATTAGATATATCACTGGTTAGGTATATGACCTTGGAAAGACATTTAGCCTTTCTGTAAGATGAGAGGAAGTAAATAAAGGTAAGTACAAGATTATAATACCTTTTGAATCTATGACCAATTTTGGTAGTTTGGAAGAAATTACTGGTTGGAAGGAAGAGCATAAACTTCTAGCTGGAATAAAGGGCTTACGAGTCCACTTCAAGTTAAAACAAAAACAAATCCTTTGATGTAACCATATGGTGCCCATAAATCAATTTATGCTTCTAAAACTTCCTTAAAAGCTAATAAGCTTTTATTGGTTAATTATAAAACTGAATGAGGTGAGAAAAACACAGACCCTTGCTAATTCCACTAATGAATCAAATTTAAAGAACATAAAAAGAGAGCATTGACTTATGCAAAAATCCATTTTATTAAAGCAACAGCTTTCCATCCTATTTCAGCTTCAAATAAATACTTTCGAAAAAATTCTTTAACAATAAAGTGGGAAATATTTAAATTTCCCAATTCCCACTTAGATGGTTATATTTTCATATAGATTGGTAAATGGTGTAAACTTTCAGTCAGTGTGAAAGTGTTACCGAATGGAATTCACCACCTACCTTCACTACCGAATGCTACTTTTTAGATTTCTTTTGTTTTATTTTCACATGACTTTAAGCTTTGAGGTTTAATATAACCCTGGCTTACCTTACTTGTCAAAAAATATTAAACACATAGAATTTACCAGGAATGCTTTTAGGTGCTGGACCAAAAAAAAAAGAAGCCAGGCTCTGCGTTTAGGGAACTTAGGTAAGCCTGTAGATTAAAAAGGGCACTATACCAGCGTCACCAGTACAGACCCAGAGGTCAGGAGAGAGGCCACCTGCCCAGTGTCTGGATTACGGGAGGCTTCCTGGAGGAAGCGCTTCTCAGCCAGGACCCGCCAATGGTGACCGGCCCACAGGGACGCGGCAGCGGGGCTGGGGGCTCTGCGGGCCCCTCCGCTGTTGACAGAGTGTCCTCCTACACAAGCAGGCCGCCGGCTGCGACCCCACTGAGGCCTCCCGTGCTCCACGCGTGACCTGGCGGTTTTAAGCCACATTTCACGTCAGTTGCAACGTTCCCCCCGGAGCTAGCAGAGGAGGGCCCGCGCCCCTGGAGAGAACAGGGCTGTCTCCATGGCCCCCAAGCCTACCAGCACACCGTGTGTGAATCCGGCCCCTCCAATGGGCACCCGAGACTGCCCCAAGGCAAAGAGAACAACGCCTTCAACACCCGGCACTTCCTGCAAGCCAGCGACTCCTCGGGGCGCTGCACCTGGTCTCCGCTGGACCAGCCGCTCTTCTGTCACTTGCCAATCAAATAAAAAGCGTCCGCTTGTTTGCACATCGTTTCTCGGTTTTTTATTTCTATAAAGAACCCATGAAACTCGCTAAGGCAACCGCCCTCCCCTCCACAACCGGTAACACACTGGAGACTCCGACGGGGTCAGACAAGCCGTGGGCCGACGGCAAGTCGAAGGGGAACCGGGTGGGAGAGGTTTTATTACTGGAGGCCCAAGGCTCCAGGACAGCAAGCCGGGCAGCCGCAGGGCCCGCGGCCGGGTCAGATTTTCGACCTCACGCAGAGGCCGCAGCCTGAGGCGTCTCTGGGGCCCGGGCGTCACCCCGGAACCCAGAGCTTGCCCCTAACTCGGATTTTCCCAGGAACCAATTTACGTAAGCACCGCCGCGGGACTTACCCGGACAGCGACTTCTCCTTGGTTTAGGAAGCAGCCCCTTCTTTATTTACCAGCTTGGGCCTGAATCCTCACTACTGCTGCCGCCAAGTTTCTGAATTTTCTCAAACAAACAAAAAGTCCCTCGTGCCTTTCCCCAGGCAAAGCCCAGGAACCGCCCGGACACAATTCGAATCGCGCGCCCTCGCCAGGAGGCCCCGCCTCTTCCGGGAAGTGACTGTTTCCGCGTCCCTCCCCGTAGCCGGGCCGGGCCAGTGGACGCATGCGCGGACCTGTTGCCGGGGACGCGCCGTTCTCTTTCCTTTCACTTAAGCGGATCTCCCGCCTCCCTAGCGTTCGGCCGCCGTCGCGTAGCGCGTGCCTAGCAGCCACCCTTGCCCGCCCAGGGGCAGTTCGGGGCTGTCCTCTTCGACTCCGGTGGCGCGAATTCCCCGCACCGCGCACGCGCGGGCGGAGTCGGGGGGGGGGGGGCGGGGCGCACGCGCGGATCGTCCCGCGGTGGGCGCCGGGGCGGCGGGGTTCCAGCGTTCTCCGGTGGCGATCGCGCGGCTCCCGGTGGGCCAACGGCTGCCGGCCCAGGCCGAGACGCCCCTGGGGTGGCTCAGGGCCCGGTGGCATCGCGACGGCCCGGCCTGTTGGGTTCCTTGAAGCAATTTCGACGTGGTGGAGGTAGGGTGAGGGCGCGCGCGGCGTCGCTCTGCTTCGCTGCGGGGTCTGTTGCCCCCGAGCCCACCCGGGCGGCCGCGGCAGGCGGGGTCGGCGCGGCCGCGGCGGGGTCCGGGCTATTCCGGGGCCTTCACGGGAGAGGCCCGGCCGGCGGCGCGGGAAACTTGGCGTCCGCGCGCGCCGCCGCTTCCCCGCGGCTGTCCCTAGACGGCCCCGGGCGTCGCCGAGAGCCCCGAGGAGCGGCTGGGGCGTCGTGGGCCCCGCGGGTCTGAGGGCTGCCTCCCTCTAACGGCTGTGGACGAATGTCACTTCGGTGAGGTGTTTTTTTTTTTTTTTTTTGAGAAGTCCCACTGTGTTAACCTAGGGAAATTTAGTTGTGATCCGCGAAGGGTTTTTGACTGACGTTTGTTCTCCCTGGTTTCTCGTGGGAACGACCGGAGAGAGATCCTGACGAAGAATTGCGGGAAAACAGGACTCGGGTAGAGCCAGGGCTGCAGGACCCAGGGGGCTAGGGTGACACGGCGATGATTCCTAGAAAGAGCACCTGCTTGGTGTAGAAATCCTGAAGACAAACGACTGAGCGCTTGCTGCTCCGTGTATAGTTAAAGAATAGAGACTAAAAGCCAGCTTCCGTAATGTATATTCCAAGGGAACTTCCAGATTCCCCGACTTTTGGGTGGCTGCTTTGCAGCCCTTGAAAACATGCAGTAGCATGTGCAGGGGTCTGTGCATAGTTCTGGGAGGGTGTGAGCGGGCAGGGAGCGTGTTAGAACGTCTGCTTTAATCAACTATCGCATTCTTACGCTGAGTACTTTTGTGTCGGAAGGCATATTCAAAATTTCTTTTCCTGAATAGCTGCACGTGCCCAAAAAAGTTTGCAGACCACTAGAATATTACTTAAAAACATGTTTTTGTTTCCGTCAGAAATGGTTGTGTAACCTGCGCAGATTGGTACCACCTCTTAAGTTTCAGTTCTTCAAGTTGAAAACAGTGACACATTACCCAACTTACAGGATTATTAAAGATGTAGACAGAGAGAGGGAAAGTAAAAAAAAGGTTTATATAAAGGGTCTCTTCCTTTTTTAAAAAAAAAAAAAAGGTTTATTTTATTTATGTAAAAGAGTTACACAGAGAGAAGGAGAGGCAGAAAGAGAGAGAGAAATATCTTCCTCCTGCAGGTTTACTCCCCAGTTGGCGGTGGTGGCCAGAACTGAGAAAATCCGAAGCCAGGAGCCAGAAGCTTCTTCAGGTTTTTGCACACAGGTGCAGGGGCCCAAGCACTTGGGCCATCCTCCACTGCTTTCCCAGGCCATAGCAGAGAGCTGGAGCAGAAGTGGAGCAGCTGGGACTTGAACCGGCGCCCGTATGGGATGCCAGCACTTCAGACGGCGGCTTTACCTGCTACACCACAGCACTGGCCCCAAGAAAATTTTTAGTTGACCCCCCCTCATCTATGTAGAGTTAGTATAAAGCAGTTAATATTGAGTTGGGCAAAAAGTAAGGACAAGTGACACATTAAAAATTACTGATGAAAAGCAGGCTTATAGAGTGCCTCGTCTGTAGATGTTTATAGAAAAACTGTGTAACATTTGACTCAGTTTGAGACCAAAGTTAGGAAAAAAATGATGACATCTATATGTGGCTTACTTTCAGGAATTAGTAAATGATTCAGAACTTTACCTTAAGAGTATGCATTATATTTGAGATATAATTAAATGCGACAATTCTATAAATACAAACTGGTAAATCCAACTTACTGAGGGTCACGTGTAGTTGTTTATACTACATTAATGTTAGTATTTTTGAGTCTCTGTTTACATGAGTTACATCTTACCTTACTCAATAAAAAAAAATTACTTTTTTTTTTTAATTTTTACGTATTTATTTGAAAAAGTTAGAGAGAGAATGAGCGATCCAGCAAGATCCTCCATCCACTGGTTCACTCCCCAAAATGGCCACAACACTGAGGGCTGGGCCAGGTTGAAAAGCCAGGAGATTCATCAGGGTCTCCCAAGTGGATACAGGGGCCCAAGTACTTGGGCCATCCTCCACTGCTTTTCCAGGCCCTTTAGGAGGGAGCTGAATTGGAAGTGGAGCAGCCGATATCTATATGGGATGCAGGCACTGCAGGTGGAGGCCTAATCTGCTGTACCACAGCACTAGTCCGCCAGACTACTTTCTGTAAGTTTCTTAGTTCCACTCCCAAATCCACTTACACTGCAGAGAATAGTTTACTACCACCTGGCCTCTATATCTTAGGAATGCTTTGGGTGGGAGGGAGGTAGGGGGGAAGAATCACCATGTTCCCACTGCCTCTGTCTCTCTGTAACTCTGCATTTCAAATAAATACTAAAAAAAATAAATAAAAACAAAAAGTTATTCTGCTACAGAATTAGATAACTATTCTGTTTGTCACTACTGATAGTCCCCATGTTGGTATTAATGCGAAATATGAAATATTAAATACTTAAATAAAATTTAGAGATTTTAAATTCTGTTGAAGTTCATTTGATGGCTCTCATGTTTCCTATATACCTATATATTGTAATGAACCTTTAATTCTGGATTTTTCTTTTTGATTTGTTCCTATTCTGATGGAGTTTTCTTCCTGTAAAAGAGAATTGATGTGTTCCTAGTTCATAATATTTTATTTTAAAAATAAATAATTTTTAAAAATTTTGTATTGAGCATTGTTGACATGGTGAAACTCTTAGAGGGACTTTTCTGCTTTTAACAAATTGCAGAATATTTGAAAGATTTTTGCATCTGTGTATATAATATGTCTCTTTATCTTACTAGAAACACTTTTGCTGGTTAGCCTAGAACTTACTCTCAGGAAAATCTATCATCATTAAATGAGTATTTTTGAAAATCAACCATCATTGAATTACAGTGATTCCTATTTTGAAAGGTAGGATCCTTCAGTATTTGTTAGATGTAGGTTACCTTGGCAACCTAATAGCAAACTGCAAATTCCAGACCATGCCCACTTAACAAAAAACATTGTCATCTTGTGTAGTTTCAGTGTTCATATCTTTTGTATAGCATAGCATGTCACATTCCTTGTAAGACACTCACCACATTTCCCCTAGTGCATCTGCTCCCTAGTTTTACATGAAACATTGCTGGTTTTTTTTTTTGTTTGTTTTTTGTTTTTTTGACAGGCAGAGTGGACAATGAGAGAGACAGAGAGAAAGGTCTTCCTTTGCCGTTGGTTCACCCTCCAATGGCCGCCGCGGCCGGCGCGCTTCGGCCGGCGCACCGCGCTGATCCGATCGCAGGAGCCAGGAGCCAGGTGCTTCCTGGTCTCCCATGGGGTGCAGGGCACAAGCACCTGGGCCATCCTCCACTGCACTCCCTGGCCACAGCAGAGAGCTGGCCTGGAAGAGGGGCAACCGGGACAGAATCCGGCGCCCCAACCGGGACTAGAACCCGGTGTGCCAGCGCCGCTAGGCGGAGGATTAGCCTAGTGGGCCGCGGCGCCGGCCAGAAACATTGCTGTTTTCTAATGATAAAGTACTAAAATCAGTAGCTGGTGTCTGAGTGTCTGCTAACTGCAGGTTGATGTATGAGGCATTAATAAAAACTTTCTTAGGAGAATTTAATGTTGGGAAAACAAAAAAAAAAACGCTCTTTGCTCTTGTATAATAATCACTATTCAGTAGTTGAGAGGAGGCTAGAGAATGAGTGGGAGAAAAAAGTACTGGAGAAATAATGGTCTGGCAGTATTTCAGGGAATTTTAATTAGCAACAAGCTGAAACCAGAGTACATTATTTTTGATTCCTGCTATTAAATCATCTGAAAAATATGCTTGATTTGGGACATTTTGGTTTCTTGAAGAGATTCAAAATGTACTGTCAATTATTTGTTTAAAAAAAAAGAAGCCTAATTTTATAACTGAAATTGTACTTTGGCCCCAAAATTTTGTTTAGGTTAAATGTCCTTAGGATGTCATGATAGCTTTTAAATGATATTTTATTTATTATGTTAGATTGTTCATTACTACCAGGAAAGGGTAAAGGCTGAGCTCTTTAATGTGGTTCGTATCATTTCTCAAACTTTAATGTGGTTAGGTATCATGTGATGTGTTATTACTTTGAAGGTTCTGATTAACTTTGCCTAGGGTAGGGCTGAGATTCTGGATAGATGGCAAGTTCCCAAAACATGGAGTTGCTGCTCAGTGACATAGACTACATTCTGAGTGTCAAGAGTCTTCAAGACTCTGTTCTGTGTTTCTTCCCCCATAGCCCTCACTTTATTGTTGGCTATCTGTGCTTACGACTAGCTGCAGTTTATCATGGACTTCCTTCTGTGAGTGCACTTCAGAGAGTTCTTGGAAAAATGGAATTAAATGACAGTTATACTGCTGGCGCCGTGGCTCACTAGGCTAATCCTCCGCCTGTGGCGTGGGCACTCTGGGTTCTAGTCCCCGTCAGGGGCCGGATTCTGTCCCAGTTGCTCCTCTTCCAGTCCAGCTCTCTGCTGTGGCCCAGGAGTGCAGTGGAGGATGGCCCAAGTCCTTGGACCCTGCACCCGCTTGGGAGACCAGGAGGAAGCACCTGGCTCCTGGCCTCGGGTTGGCATGGTGCGCTGGCTGCAGCGCGCCGCCGGAGCGGCCACTGTGGGGTGAACCAACGGAAAAGGAAGATCTTTCTGTCTCTCTCTCTCTCACTGTCCACTCTGCCTGTCCAAAAAAAAACAAAAAACAAACAAAAAAAAAACCCACAATTATACTTTAGTGCAACAAAATCTTAACATTGTTTATACAAGAGATATTCAAAATTTTTTCTTACCTACCAATGTCTGACACTCTGCTAATTGGGACATTGAGATGCTTGCTTTCAGCTTTGTCCAGATTAGATAGACATGCAGGATACACTTGGCTTTTGCTAGCATGGGTTTGGGAGGAGCCAGTTTTTTTTTAAGTAGTGTTTGGCTGGAATAAAGGAGTATGATGGAACTTGTTTTCTGCTTTTATTACCTGCCCCCTTCCTAGCCCTTTAGTTAGAGAGAGCAAGATTTCAATGGAGCCTTTTCCCCCAGTACCTGTTGGTGTTGCCTGGTTGCTGGCTTCTCTGAGTCAACTTTTTTTAATTATGATGAAAGCAGGTCTAAAGCACTTCATCAACAAGAGTTTATTTTGACTCAAGGTTCAGAGGTTCACGTTCAAAGGTTCTGCAGGCTCTTGGTTCAGCCTCTGGTGATGTCATTCTTGCAGGCAGAGTCCCAAGATGGCACAGGGCATCCCATTGTAGGCAACACGGAGCATATGTGTCTCTCCTCTCTGCTTGTACAACCAGCAGGATTCAATCACAGGAATTCTACCTAACAGCTTAAGCCAATCTCTTAACCTCACAGAGGTCCTGCCTGTAAGCATCGTAAGTGGATTTAGTTTGCCCTTTTAGTACCATTAACATAAGACTTTGGGGACTATATTCCTACATGAGTTGGAACCAAATTGTATTCAAGCCGTAGTATGAAGTCTGAGATTTCTGAGGCAGAGTGAAAACTCAGTGAACTCCCATTGTTTCATTGCTTGAGTCCTGGGGTTGGATGGTTTGCTTTCTTCTTACTACCTTTCATAGTCTTAATGTCAGTTTTATATGCAATGTCCAGAGTCTTTAGTTTTACTTCATGAGAGGAATAGGAAAAAGTACATCTATTGCATTTTCCTGGAAACACAACTCTGATCACTTTTTCAGCTTGTGTTTGGGAGAGAGAATTAGAAACTGAGCTCTAACCCCATGCATATCCTTTATATCTTTCTAGTTTATAAGTTGTATACGTAAGCATTAAACTCATCTTATTAGAGAAAAATGAGATTAGAGAGGAAAAGAACTATTTGGAGAAAATGTTTAACACAGCTATCAAACTTACTCACTGCATGAAGGAACTCATGGTGACATATCAAGGCTTTAGAAAAAGTGATTTTGTGTAGTAAATTTGAGGCTTTAAATGGTCAGCATTTTGAAAAATAAAGTTACAAAAAATTGATTCAGAAAGCTGTAATGAACTCAAAAAAGTGTATATAACATAGAAATTCAGATTTTTTTTAAAATTTACAACATCTCCACATTTAAAAGTTTAAATGTAATTCTTTCAAAACATTTTAATATCTTGCTATGAAAGCAATTTTAGAGCATTAAAGATTGACAGACCACCCAGTTCACTTAATTAAGTTTGTGTTGTCGTAGTACCAAAACCTGACAAAACTGATTCCTCAAGCAGTTCTTTTAATATATATATATATATTATATGTATAACATATATATATATATATATATCTTCAGAATTTATTCTATCCTTGGTAAGTTTGGAAAGCAGTAGATTAAAAAATTAAGCACCGGGGCTGATGCCGTGGTGCAGTGGGTTAATCCTCTGCCTGTGGCGCCGGCATCCCATATAGGCACTGGTTCTAATCCCACCTGCCCCTCTTCTGATCCAGCTCTCTGCTATGGCCTGGGAAAGCAATAGAAGAAGATGGCCCAATTGCTTGGACCCCTGCACCCGCATGGGAAACCGGGAGGAGGCATCTGGCTTCTGGCTTTGGATCTGCGCAGCTCTGGCCTTTGCAGCCATCTGGGGAATGAACCAACAGAAGGAGGACTTTTCTCTCTGTCTTTCCCTCTCACTGTCTGTAACTCTACCTCTCAAATAAATAAATAAAATCTTAAAAAAAAAAAATAAGCACCATGTAGGAATGTCTGTCTCCCTCACTGTCCTTTTCTTTCTCACATTCCTTCTCCAGAGTCCCTCTTCTCCTATTTCTTACCTCTACTCCGTGTTTTTCTTTTAACACCACTCCAGTAGCTCTCTTGTGCCTGTATATACACTTAAGGCTAGGTTTCTTGGCCTGTGTATACAGCATCAAATAGAGCTATCATCTGTTAGTGAGACTAGAATCTGTCAGTCCAAACTGATGAGCGAGAGAATCTAATTCATTCTACTATAGTTGAGGGGGATAAGAGGAATGGGTCACGCACATGGTTCAGACAGGACAACTATGATCTAGCATTTGGGGTACTTAATTGAGCCTAGAAGTATTTCTCATATTGGTCCTTAGAAATTTTTGATTATGTATGTCAGAAATTTTTTTCTCTTTTTATTTGGCAAACAATTATTGAATACCTATCATTTTAGGTTTTAAATGTATTCTAAAGAAAAGAATGAAAGCAACAATCAAAGTCATAAAGCTTAATTTCTTGGTTTGTTTTTTTTTTTTTTTTTAAAGATTTATTTATTTGAAAGGCAGATTACAAGAAAGAGGGATCTCCATCTGCTGATTGACTCCCCGGATGCCAGTAACAGTGGAGGCTGGGCCAGGCTGAAGCCAGGAGCCAGAAACTCCATCCGGGTCTCCCACACAGATGGCAGGAACCCAAGCACTTGGGCTTCATCTGCTGCCAGGCACATTAACAGGATGCTGGGTCTGAAGCAGAATGGCTGGGATTCCAGCCAGGCACTCTAACAAGGGATACTAATGTCCCAAGTGGCGGTTTAACCCTCGGCATCACAGTTACATCCCATGAAGATTAATTTGACTTACATAGACTGTCAGTTTTGACTAGAGATTCAGCATTCATGTGTTTATTAGCAAAATCTTGTATAATTTTAACCATTAACTGTCTAGGTTCAGATTTTATTGTGTACTGGGAAAAAAATAAGACAACACAGACTGTTTCTTTAACGAAGTTACTAGTTACTAAGCAACACAGCTTCAAAATGAACCTCTTTGGGAAAATAATATGATTTACTTATAGCTAGTAAAAATGGGGAGATTGTTCTGAGATAATTTTGAGAGTCACTATGCCATCTCTATAAGTTGACATTGGAAACTGGAAACTTTAATTTCACAAATAAGATCTTTTACTTTTTTGTGAGTTTAGGAGTCAAAGCGTTTAGGTAGTCTTGTATCAATAAACTTTTGGCCATGAATAGCTTTGAAGTAAGATCAACTGGTGTAGAATATGCAGATAATTTTTTTAAGCTGCACAAATTTATTGTATTTTTATGTAGTTGAATTCCACAGGTTTTACTGGACTACAATCAGAGCATCAGTAAGGCTGTGTTCCTTTTTGGATTCTCTGGGGGAAATCTTTTTCCTTACATTTTCCAGCATTAGATTCATGACTAATTGGTCCTCTTTGCAGGATAGAAAATTTTGATTTTCTTTATTTTTCTAAGTACAAATGGTATAATATTTAAAACTTAATAAGCTTCATGTGATTTAATTTCATTGAGTTTAATGTATATGGAGTAGTCGTTATGAATGCTATATTTGATTTACTTCATTGTTAACTGTATATATTTGTTCAGACCTGATGGCCAAAAGAAAGGAAGAAAATTTCTTCTCTCCTGAAAATGCTAAAAGACCAAGACAAGAAGATTTTGAAGATTTTGATAAAGATGGTGATGAAGATGAATGTACAGCTTCTTTCACTAATGGCACCTCTGCTTTGGTAAGTATGAAATTACAAAATTTAGCTTTTCACTTGGCATGTTTTTCATGGCTGGTTTATTTCATATTTGTGATCTTTCAAAATTGGAAGGCCAAGGTAGGGATGGGCATTTGGTGTAGTGGTTTAGATGCTACTTGGGACACCCACATGCTACATTGTAGAGCCTAGATTTTGGTCATGGTTCCACTTCCAAAGCCAGCTTCCTGTTAATATGCACCGTGAGAAGTAGCAGGAGATGGCTCAAGTACTCCCATGTGGGAGAGCTAGATTGAATTCCTGGCTCCTGGCTTTGGCCTAGCCCAACCCCAGCTGTCATGGCCATTTGGGGAATGAACCAGTGAATGGAAGATCTTTGTCTATCTCTCTTTCTTTGTCTTTCCAATAAATAATAAATGGAAAAAAAATAAATGAAAATGAAGAGTCAAAGTAAAATAACCTCTTTTAATCTTGAAGTTTATATTAATTGTTAGAAAAATTAATAGAGAAATTAGTGAAGCAAAGACTTGGGTCTTTGATAAAATGAATAAATTTGACAAACCTCTTTTAAGACCAGCAAAGGAAAAGAAGGGGAAAAGATACAAATTGCCAGTAATAGGAATGAAATAGGGGTGTGAGCATAGGTCCTGTAGAAATCAAAAGCATAAGGAAATAGAGTTAACAGTTCTGTACACATAAATTTGACAATGTAGGTGAAGTCCACCAATTACTTAAAAAGAAAAAAGTACAACGCATGCAATACGTAGTATATGATTTGACTGTTTCCATAACTATTGAGAAAATTTAATTCATGTTTTAAAACTCCTAAAAAGAAATATTCAGGCTCAGTTTGTTTTACTGTACAATTGTACCAAACTTTTAAAAAAGAATGTACATGCAATCTACGTAGTCTTTTCCAGAAAACGGAAGAGGAAGGAATGCTTTGATATCATGATCCTGATATCAACACCAAAGAGATACCAAAAAGAAAACCAACCATACGTGTTCATATGCCTCTGCAGTAAAGATGCAGAAATCCTTAACAAAATATTACCAAATATACTTAAAATTCAGTAATATTTGAAAAGCAGTATACCCCATGAACAAATGGATTTATTGTAGGCATACAAGCCTGATTGGCATCTGAAAATCAATTTAATTCACCATACCACAGGTTGAAGAAGAAAAATTATGGTCCTGTCTCTGGATGTAGCAGAAGTATTTGACAAAATTCAATACCTGTTTGTGATTAAAAATCTTCATAAAAATAGGAGCAGAAGGCAACTTCCTCAACATGATAAGCAACATTGACAGGAGGATCTAGAGCTAATACCCAGTAAACATATTTAATGGTTAAAGATAGAAAAGTTTTCATCTAAGATCAGGAACATAGTAAGAGTGTCTGCTTTCATCATTGTTATTAAGCATTGTGGTAGAATACCTAGTTAGTGAAAATAAAGTTGGAAAATAAGAAATAAAATATAGAAGTTAGGAAGAAAAAAAAAAACTGTCCTCACTTGCAGATAACCTGATTATCTACATATAAAATTTTAAGGAATCTACCAAAAACTCTCAGACTAAAGTGCATTCAGCAAAGTTATAGCATACAAGATACACATTTTTAAAAATTGCATTTTATATAATTGCATTGAACACATTGACATGAAAATTCAGAATTCAATTGCATTTACAGTCACTCAAAAATGCAGTGCTTTAGGGAAATTCATATTAAGATACCATGATACATCTGTAAAATTCCAGACCAAATGCCGGCAAGGTTTTGGAGTAGCAAAAACTCATTCATTTCTGGGAAATGTAGAATGGTGCAACCACTTTGGAAGACAGCCTGGCAGTTTGTTACAAAAATAAACACACTTTTACCATACAATCCAGTGATTATGCTCCATAGTGTCTACCTAAAGGAGTTGAAAACTAGTGGTCTCACAAAAACCTGTACATGGATGTTTGTTGCAGCTTTATTTATAATCTCTTAAACTTGGAAGCAACCAAGATGCCCTTTGGTAGGCCAGTAGATAAACTGTAGTATGTTTAGACAGTGGCTTATTTTTCAGCACCAACAGGAAGTGAGCTATCAATCCTTGAAAAAAAAATGGAGGAAAGAAGCCAAACTGAAAAGGCTATATAATGTATAATTTCAACTCTGATCTTCTGGAAAAGCCATAACTATGGAGACAGAAAGGCCAGTGATTACTAGGGATAGAGAGGAGAGATATCAGCAGGCAGAACACATAATATTTAGGGCAGTGAAAATACCCTGTGTGATCCTATAGTCGTCAGATACACGTCTTTACAATTTTTAAAAATCTACAGAATGTGTAACACGCAGAGTGAAGCCCAATGTAAACTATGGACTTAGAGTGATAATGATGCATCAGTGTAGATTCATCGGCTGTAACCAATGGGCCATTCTGGTATGAGAATTTTTGATACTAGGAGAGGCTGTGCATGTGTGGGAGGAGAGGATGCTTGGGAAATCTCACTGTGTGAACATAAAACTGCTCTAAGAAAATTAATCTTCAAAGAAAAATGAATTAAAAGATGTTCAGGATTTTTATGCTGGAAAGTAACCAACACCGATGAAAGGAATCAAAGAGAACTCAGTAAATGGAGACTCATACATACTTACAGATTGAAAACTCAACATAGAAAAAATATTAATTCTTTTCCAAAATGACAAACCAGTTTAATGCATTTTTCTATCAAAATCCAGTAAGGTTTTTTGTACATATAGACAAATTTATTTTAAAATTTATTTTTTGTATTTTTTTTTTCTTTTTTTGAGAGGCAGAGTTAGAGAGAGAGAGAGAGGTCTTCTGTTCACTGGTTCACCCCCCAAATGGCTGCCACGGCCTGTGCGCTGTGCCAATCCAAAGCCAGGAGCCAGGCACTTCCTCCTGGTCTCCCATGAGGGTGCAGGGCCCAAGCACTTGGCCTATCCTCCACTGCCTTCCCTGGCCACAGCAGAGAGCTGGACTGGAAGAGGGGCAACCGAAACAGAATCCGGCGCCCCGACTGGGACTAGAACTCGTATTATTTTTTTTTAATATTTTATTTTATTTATTTGAAAGGCAGAGTTACAGAGAGAGGTAGAAGGAGAGAGAGGTCTTCCATCTGCTGGTTCACTCCCCAGGTGGCCACAATGGCCAGAGCTAGGCCAATCTGAAGCCAGGAGTCAAGAGCTTCTTCAGATCTCCTATGTGACTGCAGGGGCCGAAGGACTTTGGCCATCTTCTACTGTTTTCCCAGGCCATAACAGAGTTGGATCGGAAGTGGAGCAGCTGGGACTAGAACTGGTACCCATATGGGATGCCGGCGCTTCAGGCGGTGGCTTTAATCCGCTGTGCCACAGCGCTTGCCCATTTTAAAATTTACATGAAAAGTAAAGGCAACTAAAATAGCTAACGTCAAGAAATTATCAGACCCAAATGTCCATATTGTTCATATTAAGGAACCTTGTGATACACTTACTAAATCTTTTAAAGGTTGTAGAACCAGTGGTGACTGAAGAAATGTTCCCATTTTATTTCATCTTATTCGTTGAAGTAACCATTATTCACTCCTTGTAACTTTTTCTTCTCTAAGACTGCTGGTTCTTCCTCCTGCCTGCAAATGCTTGAATGATTGCAATGACTGAATTAGATTGATTGTTTTCTCCAATTTTTTTTCTTAATAGACTGCAGCAGAAGTTGGAATAATTGAAAGTATCGAGCTGAGAAACTTCATGTGCCATTCAATGCTTGGACCTTTTAAATTTGGTTCTAATGTTAACTTTGTCGTTGGTAACAATGGAAGTAAGTGCCTTTGCCCATTTAACTGAGTAGTACTTTGAGATTATAATGTATTTACTTTTTGAAATAGATGACTGTTACTTGTAGTGCTGATAAATATTTGGTGTGTACATCTTTGTGTTTGTAGATACTTTTATATCGAGTTAACTCCAGTATGTTATTGAAACAATAGGGTTAGGGGCTGGTGCTGTGGCTCACTTGGTTAATCCTCCGCCTGCGGCGCTGGCATCCCATATGGGCGCCGGGTTCTAGTCCCAGTTGCTCCTCTTCCAGTCCAGCTCTCTGCTGTGACCTGGGAAGGCAGTGGAAGGTGGCCCAGGTGCTTGGGCCCCTGCACCCGCATTGGAGACCAGGAGGAAGCACCTGGCTGCTGGCTTTGGATCGGCATAGCTCCAGCTGTAGCGGCCATTTGGGGAGTGAACCAATGGAAGGAAGATCTTTCTCTCTGTCTCTCTCTCTCACTGTCTAACTATCTGTCAAATCATAAAAAAAAAAAAAAAAAATAGGGATAAACATTTCCTGCTTATATTTTAAATCCATTTACACTGGATTCTCTACCATGGAACAGTCATCAAGCTATCATCATTGAGATTGAAGCAGCCCTGTGTCTTACCTCAACTTAACATTTTAATAGAGCACAAAACAAGTGGCTTGGGAATCAAACATGAAAGTACCTAATTCTCACTTTGTGATCAATGAAAGCTTTATGAAGAGATGGTACTTGTGCTGGTATTTCAATGAAAATGAAAGATTCTTTAGATCTCACTGTGGGAGGAGTAGAAGAATATATGTATTAGGAATAATGAATAGACTTACATGGTTTTTATCATGTGATACATTCTGGGGAGCAGCAGAAACTGACAGTATACAACCATGTTGTAGATGATATTATAGTGAATTTGAATGTCATGATAAAGATTTTAGGGTTTTATTCAAATGTCAGTGAGTAGCCAATTAAAGTTTTTGAGTAAAGGGTTGACATAGAAAAGGTTTATGAAATAAACTGGTCACTTAATGGACGTCAGATTAGAAGAGGGCAGGAAGAGCACTTAGGCGGCTCTTGTGATAGGTAAACCAGGCATTAGGTCTTAACAACTGAACTGAGGCCAGGCACAGGGAGGAGGCATGCCAGCATCTACCTGCTGGTGCTTCAGTGGGCAACTTAGTGTGTGCAACTACACAAGTCCCTCTTGTTCTCTGTTTTCCCTATTCTATCATGCCATCAAGAAGACATAGATTTTAGGAAAGATTGGACAGAGAAAGGGGTCAGTGCTATAGGTTGCACAGGACCATAAGTAGAGATACCTTTTTTTTTTTAAATACTTGAACCAATGACATTGTTAATAAAACTTTTTTTAAAAGATTTTTTTTTTTTTTTACTTTAAAGGCGTTTAACAGAGAGAGGGAGATACCGAGAGGTCTTCATCCTCTGATTTACTCCCCAAATGGCTGCAATGGGTAGCGCTGGGACATGCTGAAGCCAGGAGCTGGGAGCTTCATCTGGGTCTCCTACTTGGGTGCAGGGGCCCAAGCACTTGGGTCAAACTTCTTTTCTTTCCCAGGCAGATAAGCAGGGAATTGGATCAGAAGTGGAACAGCCAGGGCTTGAACCAGCACTCATACAGGATTCTGGCTGTGGCTTTATACACTTAATAGAAGGAACGCTAATACAGGTAGTGAAGGCAATCCATTTGGTAATGAAGAAAAGGGAGAGAATAAGGATAGGAACTTCAGAGGTATTTCAGCAACTACATTGGCTAATCATCGGTGTGTTGTACAAAATAGTGGGCTGATAAGAGTTGATTGGATTGGTTGATCATGGAGTTCAGCAAATGATTATTATATTCTGAGTAATTGTTAAATATTTTGAAATTTCAGCTTTTGATGTTTTTATATATGTTATGGTAAAAAGAAGTAACACATTTCAAAGAGTTAGAAAATGAAGAATACTCAAATCAAGAGTAACAATTGAAGGAGGGGATACAGAAAGGGAGGGAAATATGATTATCTTAGAATTGTATCCATGAAATACATGAAATCTGTTCTCTTATTAATAAAAATTTTAAAAGTTGTCAAAATATTAAAGTCTGTATGACTGCTAATTTTTTCCTATTAAGTCCATTCATTCATCCAACAAACATGTGGCTATTATGTGCTGACAGTGAGACTGCAGCATTGAAGGAGAGATAATATTCCTGCCCATGTGGAGCTTGCATTTTGTGCTGAGAATATCTGAAAAAAGTAACTATTAACTGTAATGAAGTTAGAGTGTATTAAGAATTATGTGTGGTGTGTGTGGGTGTGTGGGTGTAAATAGAATGTAAGTTTCCTTAGTAGATTGACAGGCTAGGGTGATACAATGGGAGTTTCAGGTAAGAAATATATCATAGCCATTTTTCCCACTTCTGTGTTAGTGGCAAACATTTGATTCCCAAAATGTATAAATTTCATGAAATATTCAACCTCTTTTTTGTAAGCTTTCTGTTTTGGTACTTTAAGAAGATTATAATTGTATTATAGCATATTATTTCAATGTGAGAATAATTCATTTAGAAATATTTTGCATCTAATTTTAGGAATTGACTTTTTTATGTTTTTAATGAGTATGATTTATTCAACACCTGTTTCTTTAGGTGGGAAGAGTGCAGTACTTACAGCTCTTATAGTTGGTCTTGGTGGAAAAGCAGTTGCTACTAATAGAGGATCTTCTTTAAAAGGTTTTGTGAAAGATGGACAGAAGTAAGTGTTTGGCTTTCTACATATCCTCTTATCTTTTTAGTAGAAGCAGCTACTTTGGTTTCCTGATTCATGTAGACAAGGCTGGAATTGAAGTGCCTTCTCAGCATAGGAGCAGAGTTATTGTAGCTTTTCCTTCCTTTCTCTGCTCCTGCTTGGCCCACTGTTGCCTGTTACCCTTTCTAGACAGGTAGCTGGTGCAACCTCCTGACATTTGCCTGCTCACCTACACTCAGGTTTCTGTTAACCTTTCTGGAAGAAAGGACTGTGATAAGTCTTTGTACTCTTATTTAAAGACATATTTATAAAGGTTGCACATTCCTGGCTTTCTTAACCCAGCATCAGCAAGGCCATGTTGATATGATGGGGTGAGAGCAAAATCAGTGACCATTCAAGGTGTCCCTGTACAAAATTTTTTTCCAGCTTTCTAAGAATTCCAGGAAAGTATTCTACTCTCTGATGCTGATTTTATGTCCTTTACCCAAGTGGGTTGCCAGTGAGTTTTATATGAAAACCGTAATCACGAGCCTGTTTGTGGTTCTGTCTGGGCCCTTGATGAATGATCATATTAGAATTCTCTTTGGCTTTTCATTTACATTTCTTTTTGTCATAGGTTGCCTTCATATAGCTGTATATTAATTGTCCAGTTTGTATCACCATGGACTCATTGCCTTTTGCCTACTAGTGGCTCTGTCTTCAGGCTGATCTCATTATTCTTTTTCATACTGCCCCAGATACCTCTGGAGGGATCCTTGTTTCTCATAACAACTGAATGTCCTAAACCCTGTCATACTGTCTCCCAGCGTGAGGCTGCTCCCACTGCTGCTGCTTCTCACACGCCCAGTGTCCAGAACTTTTGAGTGGTAATTAACACTGTCTTTTTTCTCATATGCTAGACTTTCTTTCTATTCAGTGTTATATCTGTTTGACTTCTCTTGTTAGTAAAAAATAGAATGGGGGCATGATGTAAATTAGGTTTGTGGGCTTCTTAATGTATTATGCAAAGGCCTTAAGAATCTTACGCCAAGATTCCACACTGATTCGAGAAGGGCAAAAGATACAGAGAAAGTAATTTTCCATGCCTTGTGGCCTTGGAGAATAACTGTTTGATAGCAGTTCTCTAGCACAGTTTCCTTCTGCACTTATCTTACTTGAGCCCCATCCCAGGAAGTCTTGTGCTTGCCCTTTACCCTCCCCAAACAAGATTACATGTGAAGTAAAAAAATAGTTTTCACTTTTTTGGGGCATGATTTGTTTTATTTATTTGAAAGTCATACTGACAGTGGCTAGAGAGACAGAAGGAGAAAGAGATCTTGGGTTTGTTGGTTTACTCCCAAAATGTCTGCAGGTGACTAGGGCTGGGCAGGCCAATACTGGGAGCCTGGAACTCCATCCGAGTCTTCCATGTTTGTGGCAGAGGACCAAGTACTTGGGTCATCTTCTGTTGCCTGTGTAGGTGCATTAGCAGGAAGTTGGATTGGAAGCAGAGTAGGCCGGGCTCCAACCAGCACTCTGAAGTGACATGGTGGCTTAACCCACTGCGCCCTAGTGCCAACCTCAGTTACTTTATTGCTTTTAAGTTCATAGACCCAACCCTATTTCAATTCATTACTTTTACTATGCATTTCTTAGTTGTCCATACAATCACCTAGTGAACTTGGTCAGAGAACAGATTGATCTTTCAGGTACAGGCTTCAGAAAGAAAATATTTTTTATGTGCGATTAAATGTTTTGTCTCAATTAAATATTCTTGATTTTTTTTTCATTTAGGAAGTACTTGGACCAAAACAGACTTCTGAATGCTGTCTTCAAAATACTACTTAAAAAAGAAATTCTCATTTATTTGTGTCACTAAATTCAAGGACATAGCTGCCTATAGTGGGATCATTAATATGTGTGTGTATATATATATATAATTTTAAGATTTATTTATTTATTTGAAAGGCAGAATTACAGAGAGGCAGAGAGAGCAAGAAGTCTTCCATATGAAGGTTCACTTCCGAATGGCTGCAATGGCCAGAGGTGAGCCAATCTGAAGCCAGGAGCCAGAAACTTCTTACGGGTCTCTACCTGGGTTTAGGGCCCAAGCACTTGGGCCATCTTCTGCTTTCCCAGGCCATAGCAGAGAGTTGGGTCGGAAGAGGAGCAGCCAGGACTTGAACCAGCACCCGTGTGGGATGCCAGCACTGCATGAAGCAGTTTTACCTGCTACGCAGCAGCTCTGGCCTCCATTAATATATTTTAAAACAAGTTAATCATAGCTAAAACTTTTAACTTGAGCTCAGTCTCCTTTTTTCTAGTTGTCCAAAAAAGCAGGTGAAAGTAGAGCTTTCCAAAGCCATTGCTATTTCTCTTATCATGCCTTCCCTCATTTAAAACATTGCTATCTGTGAAACTCCTCTGTGTAATCATCTCTTTCTTGAAGAATCAGCTCATTGAGCTTTTCTTGTCCCACTCTGTATGTAAGCAGCTGCTCCCATTTGCCTGAGGAATGTCAGTCTGGCACAAGTCTAAGGTAGCACTAAGGACTCTGGTCTCTCCCTTTTTCCGTCTCAAACTTTGTGCTCCCTGCTAGTGTCATCTAGACTGTGGGCTTCTTATCTTGGGGTATTGCAACTCTCCTGTTGCAATACTTGAGAGAACTCTGCCTTGAGATATTTTGCCTGGGCCTTAGCCCTCTGAGTATCTGCTAGCACTTTACAGTGATATGGGGACAGTAAGTGAATTCTGTGTATGTCCTCACATAATGACTTCCCTCAGTGATGCAAAGCCTGTTGTCCTTGCTATTCAGATTCTTTTGGAATATGTACAGCTCACTGTTTCCACCCTCAGCCTTCCTATACACAAGCCTTTGTAGCATTGGGGTCTTTGTAGTAGTTCTACTTTTGATGTCAGCTGTGTCTCAAAGATTATGAGGGATGAAAATTCATTCTCCTGTTTTATGTTCTGGATTCATGTAGTCAAAGACAAAACTTCCTGCAGAGGAGCAGGCTATCCAAGGAAGGAGTAGATGCATCCTGTTTTTATATGACTTCTTCCTTATTCCTGACAATGTATGCTGCTGCCAATTCTACCTCTGTATAGACAGGTTCTATCAGAATTGGAAAAGTAGCCTGATGCTTAGAGAGTGGCTCAACTTGTCATTCTGAAAGAACTCTCATTGGTGGTCACTCTTCTATATTTATAAGCATTGGACTCTGACACTTTACCCAAATTCAGCGTCAACAAAGGCCACATTAGTATACAGAGCGGAGAGCAGAGCCAGTGTCCAGCTCACTTGGCCCTGTTTCCTTACACAAATTTTTTTTCTTGAACAGTTGAGACTTTTTCGTAAACATTAATTTTTTAAAATACTTTCGTATACTTATTAAAATCATGCAGCGTCAAGATACCAATGCCTCAAAAATTCTCACTATAATATAGTTAGCTTTAAAATGCAAAAATACCTAGGAATAAAGATAATAAAGTTGATATAACTAGTCAAGAGTGAGTATTTATTTTATTTGTTTGAGAGACCCGCAGGAGATGCCATCCGCTGATTTACTCCTCAAATTCCTACAATGGCAGGAGCTGGGACTGGCCAAAGCTTGGAGCCAGGAACTCAGTCAGGGTCTCCCACATGGGTGGCAGGAAACCAAACTACTTGAACCATCACCTGCTGCCTTCTGGGGTATGCATAAGGAGGAAAGTAGAATTGGGAGTGGAGCTACTATTCAAACCTAAGCACTCAGATATGGAATGTGGGTGTCCCAGGTGGAATCTTAATAATTAGGACAGATATACACCCCTGAGAAAGAGGCTTGATACGTCAGACAGCAAATACATGTAGTCACTTTATTTATTTTTAAGATGCTTTCCTTAGCCGTCGCCACGGCTCACTAGGGTAATCCTCCGCCTTGCAGCGCCGGCACACTTGGTTCTAGTCCCGGTCGGGGCGCCGGATTCTGTCCTGGTTGCCCCTCTTCCAGGCCAGCTCTCTGCTGTGGCCAGGGAGTGCAGTGGAGGATGGCCCAAGTGCTTGGGCCCTGCACCGCATGGGAGACCAGGATAAGTACCTGGCCCCTGCCATCGGATCAACGTGGTGCGCCGGCCACGGCGGCCATTGGAGGGTGAACCAACAGCAAAGGAAGACCTTTCTCTCTGTCTCTCTCTCACTATCCACTCTGCCTGTCCAAAAAAAAAAAAAAGATGCTTTCCTTTAATATGTTAACTTAATGCTAGATAGTCTCATCAGTTAATGAAATTAAAAATTTTTGCTATATGTTGTAAGCTATCTGCCCTCCTCCCCATCATACTTTTTTTTTTAGTTTTTTTAACTTTTATTCAATAAATATAAATTTCCAAAGTACAGCTTTTGGATTACAGTGGCTTCCCCCCCCCGCCCCATAACCTCCCTCCTACCCACAACCCTCCCATCTCCTGCTCCCTCTCCCATCCCATTCACATCAAGATTCATTTTCAATTATCTTTATATACAGAAGATCAATTCAGTGTATACTATGTAAAGATTTCAACAGTTTGCACCCACACAGAAACACAAAGTGTAAAATACTGGTTGTGTACTAGTTATACCGTTAATTCACATAGTACAACACATTAAGGACAGAGATCCTACATGAGGAGTAAGTGCACAGTGACTCCTGTTGTTGATTTAACAATTGACACTCTTGTTTATGGCGTCAGTAATCACCCGAGGCTCTTGTAATGAGTTGCCAAGGCTATGGAAGCCTTTTGGATTTGCCAACTCCGATCTTATTTAGACAAGGTCATAGTCAAAGTGAAGTTCTCTCCTCCCTTCAGAGAAAGGTACCTCCTTCTTTGCTGGCCTGTTCTTTCCACTGGGATCTCATAGAGATCTTTCATTTAGGTTTTGTTTGTGTGTTTTTTGTTTTTTGTTTTTTGTTTTTTTTTTTCCCCACAGTGTCTTGGCTTTCCATGCCTGAAATACTCTCATAGGCTTTTTAGCCAGATCCAAATGCCTTACGGGCTGATTCTGAGGCCAGAGTGCTGTTTAGGACATCTGCCATTCTATGAGTCTGTTGTGTATCCCGCTTCCCATGTTGGATCATTCTCCTTTTTAATTCTATCAGTTAGTGTTAGGAGACACTAGTCTTGTTTATGTGATCCTTTGACTCTTAATCCTATCATGATGATCAATTATGAACTGAAACTAATCACTTGGACTAGTGAGATGGCATTGGTACATGCCACCTTGATGGGATTGAATTGGAATTCCCTGGCACGTTTCTAACTCTGCCGTTTGGGGCAAGTCTGATTGAACATGTGCCAAATTGTACATCTCCTCCCTCTCTTATTTAGGGATCACTTTTCAGTTAAATTTAAACACCTAAGAATAATTGTGTGTTAATTGAAGAGTTTAACCAATAGTATTAAATAGAACAAAAAGTAAATACAAAAAGGAATAATGTATTAAGTTGTTCCTTGACAGTCAGGACAAGGGCTGATCAAGTCACCGTTTCTCATAGTGTCCATTTCACTTCAACAGGTTTCCTTTTTGGTGCTGCGTTAGTTGTCACCGATCGGGGAGAACATGTGATATTTGTCCCTTTGGGACTGGCTTAATTCATTCAGCATGATGTTTATCAGATTCTTCCATTTTGTTGCAAATGACCGGATTTCATTTTTTTTTTACTGCTGTATAGTATTCTATAGAGTACATGTCCCATAATTTCTTTATCCAGTCCAGTGTTGCCCATTCATACTTTAATTAGTGGTTCTCTTCTTTGACTTATCATTAGAATTAACTTGAGCTTTTAAAAATCTTGTCAATGACAATTTTTCAGGAATATGACTGTCTTAATTAGATAACTATTAATAAAAACAAGCACATACACTGATCTGTTTAAGGGAGCTTTAGGAAAGAATGCTTATAAAGATGCAGAAATATAAGTTTTGGAAGTTACAAAGAGAAAGTGCATCTGGGTCTCACGAGTGACCAGACTGTGTAAACCAAAAGATCCTTTGTCTCTAGGTCTCTTTTTCATTTTTCTTTGTTTGAAAGGCCGAGAGAGAAAGATGAAGAGATCTTCTATCCCATAGTTCACTTGTCAGATGTACCTAATGGATTGGATTGGGCCTTTCCAAAGCCAGGATTCTGAAACTGGATCAATTTCAAGTACTCCCAAAGTGCACATTAGCAGGAACCTGGAATTCAAAGTGGGGCCTAGACCTAGGCACTCTGATAAGGGTGTCCTAATCAGCATCTTAGCAACTGTGCCAAACACCTGCCTCTGTCTTTGGGTCTTTGCGTCTGAATGTTCCTTATCTCTGAGCCTCTGTCTCTTTCTCTTTTCCTTTGGTGTATGCTGCAACTCTGTACCACTTCCCTTACCTCCTTACCTTAATGGGCTGTACTTCTCTGTGTGCTGTCTTCCCTCCTGTGTCTCCTTAGGACACATGTGTGGGTGTGTTTCTCTTTTTGTCTCTGAAGTATATGTTTTTTTTTTCTTATTCTTCAGCCTAGTCTTTGTCACTCTGTGTCTTCAATGTCAAGTATTTATAATAAACTGTCAATCTGGCAGGGGTGGGGGAGTGGGGAGGTTATAAGGAAGTGGTCTTGTGTTCTCTGTGTCTTTGCCAACCCCTGTGGGTGTCAGTCCATTGAAGTGGTTTCCCAAGAGCTTACGTATTCCATATTCCTGCTCCTTTCTGCAAATTTCCCATTTTCTTACCCATGTATAATGCTGCATATAGTTTTCTCTTGTTCCAGAGGCCTCATAATTTTGTAGCTACAAGGAATCACCATTTCTTGACTTGGCTGTATCTTAATTTGAATTTAAAAAATTTTTTAAAAATAATTTTAGATTAGCAGAAGTATTGCAAATGTAGTACAGAAATTTCTGTACATACCTTCACCCAGTTTCTCTTAATGTTGGTATCTTCAATAACTAAGGTACATTTATCAAAGCTGTGCTTAAATTTAACATTGATAGAATATTAACTAAATTATAAACTTGTTTCAGATTTTTACCAGTTTTCTTAATTTGGATTTTAAAAGAAGAGAATCTGGTTGCTCAGTTAGTACACAGTTCTATGTTTAGCTCAATCCATGGAGGACAGGGTGGGACCGATAGGGCTGCTAAGGCATTTCTTTCTGCTGTAGTCCTTGCAAAGAAGAGGATGATTAGGCAAGGGCAGACTGAGCACTGCAGCATGTCTGCTGTCACATCAGCAGGGTGATGGAGACTTCCATCTTGAATGTTTCTTCCTACATTTCCTGGAAATGACAGCGGTTTTGGAATAGGAGTGCTTTTTCCTGAAAACAAGTTTGCTAAGTTTATTTCATTACCAGTTAAAAGAGTTTTTTATCAAAGGACTTTAGCATTTTAGTATATGCTCCTAAGAACTAGAGAAAGTATTTTCTGCTTTTACGTGTTAGGAAATTATAAGCACATATGTGTGTATGTTTTCACCAACATCTTTTTTGCTAGTTTTTCTGTTAAGTATTTTTGTTTTTTTTTGACAGATAGAGTGGACAGTGAGAGACAGAGAGACAGAGAGAAATGTCTTCCTTTTGCCATTGGTTCACCCTCCAATGGCCGCCGCGGCCGGCGCGCTGCGGCCAGCGCACCGCGCTGATCCGAAGGCAGGAGCCAGGTGCTTCTCCTGGTCTTCCATGGGGTGCAGGGCCCAAGCACTTGGGCCATCCTCCACTGCACTCCCTGGCCATAGCAGAGAGCTGGCCTGGAAGAGGGGCAACCAGGACAGAATCCGGCGCCCCGACCGGGACTAGAACCTGGTGTGCCGGCGCCACTAGGCGGAGGATTAGCCTGTTGAGCCATGGCGCCGGCCTTGTTAAGTATTCTTAACAGATTTATAGACAACTACTTATTTTTTTCCCCTTGTAATATCTTAAAATTTGCATGACTATAAATGCCTTAAACTTCTTTAAAACTGTAACAGTCGCTTTCAGCTAGGCAAGTTTATACTTTTAAGATCTTTAGGTGTGTTTAGCTGCATGGTGTTTTAAAATAATTCTTTCATAATGTCAACACTTTAAGAAATTTGGATCGTAGTTTATATTTCTTGATATCAGGTAATTTTGTTTTTTACTGCCAAATTACTGAAAAATTAAGACTGTCTCCCTTAATCCTAATCCTTTTAGGAACTATCATTATTTTATGATGATTCTTCATCATTTTTAAAAGTGTATTCTCGGTGTGGTAGCGTATTGTGCAATTCTTCCTAGTCAGGTAATATATAATAATAGAGGATACAATCCTTATAAGAAAATATATAACGTATTTACATGACTTGAAATAACCAAAACTTAATGTTTTTTTGCTAAATATGGTATTTCTATTATACAGTAGATTATTTCTCATGAAGCTTCTGTTATTCTCAACTTTGTATTTTTGTTAGGCATGATATCTTTATCATTATTCTGTAGTAAACTGTCAGTCATCAGCTGTGGATGTAAAGCAAGTTTTCAGATGAATTAGCCAAATTGTTTAAATGTTTTGAAAATATCTGAAAATTCTGGTAGCCTAATATTTTCATTGAACTTATCTGACATAGCTTAACCTCATGTTTTAGCTCAGCAGATATCTCAATCACATTAAGGAACAGAGGAGATGATGCCTTTAAACCAAATGTGTATGGTGACTCGATAATTGTGCAACAGCATATCAGCATGGATGGGAGTCGATCATATAAACTAAAAAGTGGAAAAGGTTTGTTTGGTTTCCTTTTCATATAAAATATTAGTGAATACTTATGCTGGAATTTATTGAAAGGATACTTCTTCCCATTCTTTTGAAACTTCTGTGTTGTAAATGATTGGTGGTTTTGTGTGTATGTATCTGCCTTTGTATGCACAGATATATAGATATATGTCTATGTTGCACAGAGTTCCTTCACCATAGGCCTTCTGGTGGCAGCACCATGAGCAACAGAATTTGAATCCATTTGAAAGACTATCCATTTTGCTGTTACTAGACCTTTCACCCTATAGTTTCTATAGCTTGTGGAGAGAGATGCTAGCAAAAGATAGGGAAAGGAAGAGGTAAGAGTTTATAGTTTACTGGAAAGAAGAGGTAGGTGAGGAGAAATGAAATGTTATGGAAAGATGAGCCCTGTTAATGCACCTATATACTTTGTCCTCCTCTCTACTGCATGGGGGTTAGCATAGCACCCTAGTTCCTTCAGATTTATACATGCATATTCTGTAGTGCCTTTCTTGATGACAGAATGAAAAGTAATTCATTTTTATATTTTATAAATAATTGTATGTATTTTTCTGGATAATTGCCCTGAAGTAGTCTGGCCAATATTTATGTTTTTCATAATTAGGTGCTGTGGTATCTCAAAGGAAAGAAGAATTGGTTGCAGTTCTTGACCATTTTAATATCCAGGTAATTCTAAATTTGTGTTTCAGATTGATTAATGCAGCTGATTATTTTTGGGTGTGATTTCACTTGTGGTGTATATATATATAATATTAAAAATAGCTCGTTTGGGTAAATTGACCACAGAAAGAATGTGTACTCTAACTATTATTAGTGAAACTCCTTAAAAATCACCAGTTAACTTGAATTTTCAATAAATAACACACTGGATTTAATTTGAACATCTGATGTAAACTGGTATATGCTAAAATTTATGTTAATAAGACTTTAACATTTCTTTGCTTTCTACTATTCTATCCAAAAAAAGCATCACTGTCCCCTAAAGTCAGTTGCTAAAATCTTGAAGAAAAAATTTCATCTGGAAAAGGAAAGTGTTTCTGTGTATTTTGGAGTTAGTGATTACATCTATAGGAGACGAGGCTTGGGTCCTTTCTACCAAGATACTTTTTGTATTAGTTTTCTGCTTACGAAGAAAAAGAATTTTGGAGCTGGCACTGCGGTATAATAAGTTAAGCCTCTGCCTACGGCACTGGCTTCCCACATGGGCACCAGTTCAAGTCCCAGCTGTTTGACTTCTGATTCAGCTCCCTGTTAATGGGCCTGGAAAAGCAGCATAGAATGACCAAGTGCTTGGGCCCTTGCACCCATGTGGGAGACCCAGAACAAGTTTGTGGCTCCTGGTTTCAGATTGGCCCGCCTCTCACTATTATAGCCATTTGGGAAGTGAACCAGCAGATGGAAGACCTCTCACTCTGTCTGCCTCTCTCTCTAACTCTGCCTCTCAAATAAATAAATAAATAAATATTTAAAAACAAAAAAAGAAAAGGAAGAGTCTTATTTAAAGCGTACAGTTGTGGAACCTGAAAGTCCAAATAGCATGGCATGGGCTCTGCTGAGAGCCCTGTGGCAGATGGTGGAGTAATTACAGGAAGAAGTGGTTATGTCCCAAAATAAGAAGTCAAAAAGACACTGGCTGAGGCCTGGCTCAAACACTTTAAAAAAAAAAAAAATTGGTGTGCATTTATTTTTATTTGAAAGGCAGACACAGATTTTCCATCTGTTGATTCACTCCCCAAATTTCCATAATGGCCAGAGCTGGGCCAAGCTGAAGCTAGATGCTTGAAACTCAATCCTAGTCTTCTACAGGGGTGACAGAGACCCAAGTACATGAGCCATCATCTGTTGCTTCTCAGAGGACATTGCAGAAAGCTGGGTGAGAAACAGAGGAGTTAGGACGCAAACCAAACACTCTGATATGAGATGAAGCTGTCCCAAGTGCATCTTTTTTTTTTTTTTAACTTTTATTTAATGAATATAAATTTCCAAAGTACAGCTTATGGATTACAATGGCTTCCCCCCCATAACGTCCCTCCCACCCGCAACCCTCCCCTCTCCCACTCCCTCTCCCCTTCCATTCACATCAAGATTCATTTTCGATTCTCTTTATCTACAGAAGATCAGTTTAGCATACATTAAGTAAAGATTTCAACAGTTTGCTCCCACACAGAAACATAAAGTGGAAAATAATAGATGATTTTTTTAAATGATGATGAAATCAGATCAGACCTATTGTCATGTTTAATCCCAGTGAGAGTCAAGTTGGGAATTGATAATTTCTTCTTCTTTTTTTTTTTTTTTTTTTACAGAGGATCAGTTTAGTATACATTAAGTAAAGCTTTCAACAGTTTGCACCCCCATAGAAACACAGAGTGAAATATACTGTTTGAGTACTCGTTATAGCATTAAGTCTCAATGTACAGCACGCTAAGGACAGAGATCCTACATGAGGAGCGAGTGCACAGTGACTCCTGTTGTTGACTTTACAAATTGACACTCTTGTTTATGGCATCAGTAATCTCCCCATGCTCCAGTCATGAGTTTCCAAGGCTATGGAAGCCCCTTGAGTTCTCCGACTCTTATCTTGTTTAGACAAGGTCATAGTCAAAGTGGAGGTTCTCTCCTCCCTTCAGAGAAAGGTACCTCCTTCTTTGAAGACCTGTTCTTTCCACTGGGATCTCACTCACAGAGATCTTTCATTTAGGTGGCTTTTTTTTTTTTTTTTTTTTTTTTTTTTTTTTTTTTGCCAGAGTGTCTTTCCATGCCTGAAATACTCTCATGGGCTTTTCATCCAGATCGGAATGCCTTTAGGGCTGATTCTGAGGCCAGAGTGCTGTTTAGGACATCCGCCATTCTATAAGTCTGCTGAGTATCTCGCTTCCCATGTTGGATCACTCTCCCCTTTATTTATTCTATCGGTTAGTATTAGGAGGTACTAGACTTGTTTATGTGCTCCCTTTGACTCTTAGTCCTTTCATTATGATCAATTGTGAACTGAAATTGATCACTTGGACTAGTGAGATGGCATTGGTACATGCCACCTTGATGGGATTGAATTGGAGTCCCCTGGTATGTTTCTAACTCTACCATTTGGGGCAAGTCAGCTTGAGCATGTCCCAAATTGTACATCTCTTCCCTCTCTTATTCCCACTCTTATGTTTAACAGGGATCACATTTCAGTTAAATTTCAACACTTAAGAATAACTGTGTATTAATTACAGAATTAAACCAGTCATATTAAGTAAAACAGACAAAAAAACTACTAAGAGGGATAATGTATTAAGTTGTTCATTAACAGTCAGGGCTATGCTGATCAAGTCACCATTTCTCATAGTGTCCATTTCACTTCAACAGGTTTCCTTTTTGGTGTTCAGTCAGTTGTCACCAATCAGGGAGGACATATGGTATTTGTCCCTTTGGGACTGGCTTATTTCACTCAGCATGATGTGTTCCAGATTCCTCCATTTTGTTGCAAATGACTGGATTTCATTGTTTCTTACTGTGGTATAGTATTCTAAAGAGTACATATCCCATAATTTCTTTATGCAGTCTACCGTTGATGGGCATTTAGGTTGCTCCCAGTCTTGGCTATTGTGAATTGAGCTGCAATAAACATTAGGGTGCAGACCTCTTTTTTGTTTGCCAATTTAAATTCCTTTGGGTAAATCCCAAGGAGTGGGATGGCTGGGTCGAACGGTAGGGTTATCTTCAGGTTTCTGAGGAATCTCCAGACTGACTTCCATAGTGGCTTAACCAGTTTGCATTCCCACCAACAGTGGGTTAGTGTCCCTTTTTCCCCACATCCTCTCCAGCATCTGTTGTTGGTAGATTTGTGTATGTGAGCCATTCTAACCGGGCTGAGGTGAAACCTCATTGTGGTTTTGATTTGCATTTCCCTGATTGCTAGTGACCTTGAACATTTTTTCATGTGCCTGTTGGCCATTTGGATTTCCTCTTTTGAAAAATGTCTATTGAGGTCCTTGGCCCATCACTTAAGTGGGTTGTTGGTTTTGTTTTTGTGGAGTTTCTTGATCTCTTTGTAGATTCTGGTTATTAACCCTTTATCTGTTGCATAGTTTGCAAATATTTTTTCCCATTCTGTCGGTTGTCTCTTCACTCTCCTGACTGTTTCTTTTGCAGTACAGAAACTTCTCAATTTGATGCAATCCCAATAGTTGATTTTGGCTTTGACTGCCTGTGCCTCCCGGGTCCTTTCCAGAAATTCTTTGCCTGTGCCAATATCTTGAAGGGTTTCTCCAATGTTCTCTAATAACTTGATGGTGTCAGGTCGTAGATTTAGGTCTTTAATCCACGTTGAGTGGATTTTTGTGTAAGGTGTAAGGTAGGGGTCTTGCTTCATGCTTCTGCACGTGGAAATCCAGTTTTCCCAACACCATTTATTGAATAGACTGTCCTTGCTCCAGGAATTGGTTTTAGATCCTTGATCAAATATAAGTTGGCTGTAGATGTTTGGGTTGATTTCTGGTGTTTCAATTCTGTTCCATTGGTCTATCCATCTGTTTCTGTACCAGTACCATGCTGTTTTGATTACAACTGCCCTGTAGTATGTCCTGAAATCTGGTATTGTGATGCCTCCGGCTTTGTTTTTGTTGTACAAGATTGCTTTAGCTATTCGAGGTCTCTTGTGTCTCCATATGAATTTCAGCATCATTTTTTCTAGATCTGAGAAGAATGTCTTTGGTATCTTGATTGGGATTGCATTGAATCTATAAATTGCTTTTGGGAGAATGGACATTTTGATGATGTTGATTCTTCCGATCCATGAGCATGGAAGATTTTTCCATTTTTTGGTATCCTCTTCTATTTCTTTCTTTAAGATTTTGTAATTCTCATTGCAGAGATCTTGAACGTCCTTGGTTAAGTTTATTCCAAGGTATTTGATTGTTTTTGTAGCTATTGTGAATGGGATTGATCTTAGCAGTTCTTTCTCAGCCATGGCATTGCTTGTGTATACAAAGGCTGTTGATTTTTGTGCATTGATTTTATATCCTGCCACTTTGCCAAACTCCTCTATGAGTACCAATAGTCTCTTAGTAGAGTTCTTTGGATCCTCTAAGTACAGAATCATATCGTCTGCAAAGAGGGATAGTTTGACTTCTTCCTTCTCAATTTGTATTCCTTTGATTTCTTTTTCTTGTCTGATGGCTCTGGCTAAAACTTCCAGAACTATGTTAAATAGAAGTGGTGAGAGTGGGCATCCCTGCCTGGTGCCAGATCTCAGTGGAAATGCTTCCAACTTTTCCCCATTCAATAGGATGCTGGCTGTGGGTTTTTCATAAATTGCTTTGATTATATTGTTGAATGTTCCTTCTATACCCAATTTGCTTAGAGTTTTCATCATGAAAGGGTGTTGAATCTTATCAAATGCTTTCTCTGCATCTATTGAGATAATCATATGGTTTTTCTTCTGCAGACTGTTAATGTGGTGAATCACATTGATTGATTTGCGAATGTTGAACCATCCCTGCATTCCAGGGATAAATCCCACTTGGTCTGGTTGGATGATTTTCCTGATGTGTTGTTGTATTCTATTGGCAAGAATTTTATTGAGGATTTTTGCATCTATGTTCATCAGGGATATTGGTCTGTAATTTTCTTTCAGTGCTGCATCTTTCTCTGGCTTAGGGATTAAGGTGATGCTGGCTTCA